GCCTACAATGAGTTACTGCAAAATTTTCACATGATTTCATTTTTAAAAAATTTCCCAACCAACTTCAAGTCTAAAATTATAAATGGGTCCTATGAAAGTATAAACACATATGCAATTTTGCTGGCTCTGAGGTCAGAACCAGTAATATACCAAAGATCATTTATCGATTCCAGCTCTTCCTCTCAATGAATTTAGTACATTAAAAACCAAGATACTACTCTTCCCAAAATCACAGACAGCCTCCCAGAGAAAGATCTGGAGGGTGTGGGGTGGTGGCAAACTACTGTAGACATGTCAGAGGAGACAGCTCCCAAAAACCCATCAGGCATCTTTTCCCAGCATTGAGGACCAAAGTTGGGTAAGAAAAGTCCCAGTGACTCTCGTTTTATGTGTCATCCCTTACACTGTTTATTCCTCTCTTATCCCAACTCCCTTTTCATCCTGAGAATGTTCTTCCCATGCTGTTTGCCTCCCAGGGTGCCTCCCAGGATGACTAAATAGAAAGAAAGAAAAAACAAAAAATTACTTCCAACAATGGAGCTAAGATGCCTGCTTTTAGAATTCCTTTCACATACTGTTATAAATCATACCAGTGCAATCAACCATATTAACTGAAACCAGGACTTTTGTACAATTACTTTCTAAGAGCCTAAATTTAATCTCAGAAGTATTATGAGTACATGGGAGTAGGGAGTTTAATCTTTATGACTTACCTAGAATAAGTAGTGAACATATTTAGGTTTTTGTTTTGTTTTATTTCGTTGTCGGTGGTGGTAGAGAAATCATATTTCTATGCTGCCTTTACTTATAAAGAAACTACTGACCCAGCATAAGTAAGAAACAAACACACATGCACAATATGCATTTCTTTGTACACACAGTTTTTTCAATGCAATAATAGTAATAATGATAATGGTGGCGGTGATATATAATTATTTATCAAACATTATACTGTGAGCCACGCACTCTCCTGAGACCTATATGTGCCTGATCTCATTTAATCATCAATACTATACAGTAGGTATTATTATTTCCCCCTTTGTAGAGGTGAGAAACAAGAACATAAATGAATTTTCCAAAATCCAAAATCCAAAATATGAACACAGGAAGTCTGACCCTAGATCCTGTGCTCTTAAAGACCCCATGTACTACCTCATACAATAAAAGTTTGATATTGATGAATAAAATTTCACTCTTATATCCTAGTTCTTTATCACGTTGCTCTCCAGCTTCTTACATACACAACCCTCTAAACTATGTGCGTGATGAAAGTGTGCCCTTGTATCTTTTTACACTCCATGTGCTAATTCATGTACCAATCAAGACCCGTAGTTGGCCTGTTCATGTAAGACATTTTTAAAGCAGAGAATCATAAAAATAAGCCATATATTTTCCGTACCTCTACAAATTTATTTCAACGATATGCATAAATATGCAGGCTTTCACACCGTGTTTGGTGAAGCGCCAAGACTTTCTCTTTGACCCTGTGTCCGCTGTGTTGATTTTCCAGTTGTCGTTCTTGCGCGCATTCGCATTGGTGTGCGACTGCCAGGGCCCGGTTTGTTAGTTCTGTGTTTTCCTACAAAGGAAATGGCTCAGGCGCTTGGAATCCTTCTCAGTTGAAAATCTTTCAGGTAGTTATCACAGTCCTTTCGAATCTCCACGGTTGCATCTCCCCTAGTTAGTTTAGCAGAAATCAATGTTAAGGCCAAGAAAATCAGTTATTTTTGGTTGGATATATAAAACTGCTCTTTCCTCCACTGTTTATCAGACTGAAATTCCAGATTTTCTATTTAAAGGTGGCAACCCAAATTTGGTTGTTATTTAAACAGTGTCTGGGGAATTGTACTAGCATTTTCTTAAATGTTAAATATAAATATTTCTATTATAAGGAAAGCCTGCAAAGTAGAGTGTTTTCTATTGCTTGGTTACTTTTTTCTTTAAAGGAAAAGATTCGTGTGATCATCTGCTCCATAAAAAGGCCCAACTGTGGTTTTATGCTTAGTCTATAGTTCATTACTGCACTTAAGGATGATTTCAAGCTGTTAGCTTAAGGTTTTCCTTTAAAGTAACTTTCATATAAACTGTACCTTGAGTATTTATTATCACTATCTAAGATTGTATAAGTTAAATGAAGTATTTCTGAGTATTACTTGATATTCCTAGAAATTTTGTGATATTGAAAGTTGAATAGGGGTGGAGCTGCCCTCTGAGAGTCACTCCATTGTTTCCTATTTTCATCATATGTGAAAAACCTCTGCCATCCACCAAAGTCCCTCTCCCCTAAAATCCCTTCATGATGACTCCCTAGACCTGCCTGCATCTTTGTTCCCTGCCTGCATCTTTGTTCCCTGCCTGCTGTTTACTAACATAGCGGCCAGTCTGTCTTTCCATCTCCCAACATTTTATCTGTGGTTAGTCTTGGCGATTCCGTGGCAAATGGATCAGGTTGCTGGTTTTAGATTTCCTGCTTCATTGAAGCCTCTGGTTATCTGAGCCAAAAAGTGGTGATAAACTCTCATGTATGATACAATTTTGACTGTTATACCAATAAACCAATAAAGCAAAGACCTGACTTCATTATAGTGGGGAGAGTTTTTCAACAGGAACAGTGTTCACTGTGGCTTCTTAGCCAATTCCAGTATGGATAAATGAGGATGAATTAGTCCAGTATGGACTAATGAGGATGAAGTTTTAGTTCTGTTTCTGTTTTAGTTTAAAATTCTTTAATATTTTTAATATATAAAAATACTTCTATTACTTTGAGAAATGTATGTATTATTTAAAAGACATAAAATGGAAGAATTATAAAAAGACTTTTTTTCTCACCAATAATTTATTTTAAAAATTCTAATTCTGATTGTCAGTGAACATGCTCTAGTTTTTTCCAGATTTGTAAGTTTTAAATCCTGAAAACATTTTGACAAAACCTCTCTAATTATTAATTATTAAAGCATAAACTGTTAATTTCCTTGTCAGAAAGTCTGAAAATTGATGTCCTGGAAACAAAGTTTGACTTGAATTTTTAATTTTTTAGGCAAAGTGTGCAGTGACTTGTTAGTTTACCTTTATTAGAACAACATGGGTAGGAATAAATATTACTCTTTCAGATCACACTGAGTTTTTCAGAAGCATAATAATTAGAGATGCACTTGAAAATACATGTTTCTACAAGGGAATGTTAACCTAGTTCACTGACATTTCTCATGGACATTCTTGAAATTAATAATATAGGTACATAAGTGAAATATACATATACATCTTAAAACTATTACTATTACACTAAATTTTTATACTGGTTTATAATATATATTTAGGCCTGCACACAGAGAAAAGCATGGCCCGATGATTAAATAAATAAAGCATTAAATACAGATATATATATAGGAATGTAAAATGAAAAAGCTCAGTATTTATTCCAGTGTACTAGTTCAGCACTTAAGCTGCAGGATGAGAGTATTTGTGTTTGCAGCCCAGCATTTCCATGTTCCAGCTATCTGATTCTGATTATGGCAAGTTATTTTTTACTAATAAAAATGACGTTAAGACAAATGAAAAGATGCTCAACATCATTAATCATCAGAGAAATTCAAATTAAAACCACAATGAGGCATCATCTCACACCTACCAGAATGGCTATCATCGATAAATCAGCAAACAACTGGTGCTGGCGAGGGTGTGGAGGAAAGGGGGCCCTCGTACACTGCTGGTGGGAGTGCAGACTGGTGCGGCCACTGTGGAAAACAGTATGGAGGTTCCGAAAAAAATTAAAAACAGAGCTGCCTTATGACCCAGTGATTCCACTTCTGGGTATATATCCAAATGCACGGCCAAACTAATAACCTTGTATTGAAAAACTCCAGAATTATTACTATTATCATATCATTATCATTATTGAGCACTTACAATTGCCAGTGCAACATTAAGTAACTTACATATATTATCCCTTTTCATTCTTATGATTGTTTTCTGAGGTTGGTACTATTACTATGTCCATTTTACAGATGGAAAATTCACAGCATAGAGAATTTAATAACTTGCCCAAGATCATGCATGTAGAAAGTGGTGGGGTCAGGAGTCAGGATTTGGATGTAAGAAGCCTGCTTCCAGAGCCTGTGCCCCAGTTACTGACTGCACTGTGCTGTTTAAAGTTGCGGAGATCCAGTGTGCCTTGCACTGTGGCTACATCCCGACATGGCCGGTCCTCGGTATGCTGGCTTTAACTTCATGGCCCTCCTCGCCCTGACTCCGCCCAGGCTGTCCCTCACTCTGCCCCTTTCTGCCTGTCCTCTGGCCTGCCCAGCAGCCTGGGGAATATTCTTCTGTTCTTTGTGGTCTTCGTACCTCAGCAAATACTAGGTAACGGCTCTCGGCCTAATGGGCAGTTTGGCAGAATATGACAGATGTCTTGCAGAATCCCAAAACTAAAATTTCTGTTCTTACCAACCACACGAAGAGGGGCAGCTCGTGAATTTGAGCACAGACCGGGTTGCTTTTTGTGCTTGTCTCTAATAGTAGTTGAATAAGTACCACAGACTAGGCTACAATATTACGTTTTAATAAAGCTGAAGTTTTGTCTGTTCAAAAGAAGTTACTAAAAAAATTTTATAGTATATTAATCACGTTATTTTCAAAATGAAATTTCTAGATAATATACATTGAATGTTGAGGTCTTCATAAGGAGTAATTGATATGAAGTGCTTTTCAGGTTCTCTGAAACTTCTTGTCTTTTAAAAACTAATGTTTATCTTTTTAATCTCTTTAAATACATCCTCCCCCTCCCCCAATGTTAGCATTAAAAAAGTGTGCCATGAACACAAACGTGGCGGAAGCCATGGCAAATCTTGGCAAAAATTGAAACAGAAATGAGATTTGAATGTTCCTTGACTGCAGCCCTGAAGAGTCAGCTCAGTCCATTTTGCAGACAAGCCCGGTTTCATTCTCTGGGCCTGCAGACACAGGCCACTTCTTACCTGACTGTCCTTTGTTTGGGGTCCCAGTCCTCAGGAACCAGTATTACTGTGGATATCGCCGTGATGGGGGAGGCTCACGGCCTCATCACCGACCTCCTGGCCGACCCTTCTCTGCCCCCCAACGTGTGCACGTCCTTGCGGGCAGTGAGCAACCTGCTCAGCACCCAGCTCTCCTTCCCGGCCATTCACAAGCCCAGAGTGAATCCTGTCGTCTCCTTCAGTGAAAACTACACCTGTTCTGATTCTGAAGAAGGCTCTGAAAAAGACAAGCTGGCTATTCCCAAGGTAGGTATCAATGACACACCCATGGGAAGCTTAAACTCTTTTCTCTTCTAGTCTCTTTCTTGTCACTACAAACCCATGTGTTGATTTATTTCAGTGACTCAGTGAAATGTGTTGATCAGGGTGACCAAAGGAATGAAATTTTAAGCATGAAGACTTCTGTCCTTATACTTGATCACTTTCTGTAAATTAAAATTTTACCATTTTATGTAGCCTTTTTTGTTCAGACTTTCAAGAAGTTTTTACTTCTATATGCCAGACCCTGTTGTATGGGATAAGGTTATGGCAGGAAAAAAAAAAAAAAGGCAGAAGTCCTTGTTCCCATTCTAGCGTGGATTCTGTGTAAAATCCGTTGTGTCTGAAACACAAGGTTTCTTCACTCTTTTTGTATTCTTAGTAAGGTATCCTTTATAGTACCCTATGGCTTTCCCAAACCCAACATAATTTGAACTCAGAACAGTTTTAGTTGATTTTGGATTATTTAAAGTAAAGATTGTCTTCGTGTTTTGTATAATTTTTTCTTTTTACATGTAAGATATAAGAGTTTTACAGAAGTAAGCTATAGGGGATAGATCCTCCACCCAGTTTAGACCTAACCTTAGTTGAAAACAAGACTTTAGAAAAATCAGAATTTAAGTGGTCCCTGGTGCATCCTGCACAGCTATCTATTTGAGAAACAAGCAGCCATTCTCTTGAGCTGGTGATCAATTGGTAACACCCGATCTCTTGCTATTGTGTCTCGTCACTCAGGAACGTGTTCTTCATGTAACTTTGTCAATTAGGCGTTTACATAGTTTCCTTCCCACATATACTTCTCTGAGAAGGGTATGGCTCAGCATGATATGGAATGGAGAGAGATTAACTGATTCCTTTGGCTCTCAAAATAGATAGGAAGTCAGTGACAGATTTATAGGCAACAATCCTGGTATTTACAGTGCTTTACCTTTTCTCTTGCTATTAAATTACCTTCTGAGGTGCAAATTCAGATCTTTAAGAGGCATTGAAAACTATTTAGTATCAGATACATATTCCACTTCTCAGAAGTTGTAACCATCTTCAGAAGAGCAGACTGCATCTTTGTAAACTGTGCTTACAGGACTGGTCTACCAGGAGGCCAGTGGGTCGAGCTTCTGCCCATTGTAACTGTTGCTGCGGTTGTCGTAGAATACCTACACTTTCATTTTTAAGGTGAAAACCCTCGTTGCATGGTGGTGCTCATCCTGGTGAGCTCAGTGCTGATGATGCCACATATCCCACTTAGGATATGGAAGGGGAAGCAAGAATAAAGAGAAAGTTACAGGTCAACCAGCAAGGTCTTCTGTTATTGGTGCTGATGACATTACCCATGTGCCTGATATCTAAGTGACATCAACCACAAGAGAGGTGGTTAATTTTGTGTTATACTAATTTACTCTTATGTGCTGTCATTTGTAAGTCAAGAAATTAAAACAGTCTCTGGTGTAGAGACTGTTGTGCAAGATGATATAAATTAATTCATGCCCCAAACAAGTGACTTTTGAGGAAAAACTTCTGTGTATAGGTACATAAATACTATTGAATTAATATAACTATAAAATTATCCCAAAGGTAATTGACTGTCATCCCAATAATCATTGAAATGAAGATCCCAAAATGTTATTTTGTATTCATTTATTTTGATTAGAATCTTTTACTGAATATCTGAGTACCCACATTTTAGATAGGTGATATTCAACCAATATAGTTTAACAAATTTACTTCCAAGTAAAACCCATTTTCTATATTACATTGAAGTTAGTGGTAGGAAATATGCCTGATAATAAAACCAACACTCCTTCTTCCTAGCGCCTGAGAAAGAGCTTGCCCCCCGGATTGTTGAGACGAGTTTCGTCGACTTGGACAACCACCACCTCAGCCACAGGCCTGCCCACTTTGGAGCCTGCCCCAGTGCGGAGGGATCGGAGCGCCAGCATCAAACTGCATGAGTCGCCTTTAACCGGGTCAGGCAACGCTCCTGTGGGTTTCACATCTAAATACAGGCGAAGGGAGGCCCAACCAGCAACAGTTGGTTGGAGGCCAGCTGTGAAAATGAAAAACGTATATGTATGGTTTAAATGCAGAGCAGCATAGGGATTAACATCAGATGATTAGTCTTACATTGTGCTGTGTAGTCTTAAATAAAAATGGGGACAGTGACGTTAGATGACTTTTGATGGGAAGGGCTGAGCCCAGAATAAAGAAAGGTAGGCTAGATTTAACCTAGACTGAGATCCATATTGAGATCCTTAAATCAAAGGTATCCAACCTGACATTTGCAAAAGATTGTTAGATTTCCCTGAGCCCCGCTTTCCTAGCATTATACGAAAGGCAGAAGGTTGGAGCAAGAAGTAAATCCTCATTCTAACAGCTCCTAGATAAAGTCAAACACTTGGTAATTTAAACATTATTTAGACGGAGAACAGATTGGTGGTCGCCGGGAGTGTGTGGTGTTCAAAATACGTGAAAGGGGTTAAAAGGTACAAACTTTCAGGCGTAAAATAAATAAATAATGGAAATGTAATGCACAGCATGGTGACAATAGTTAACAATATTGCACATTTGAAAGTTGCTAAATGAATAGACCTTAAAAGTCCTCATCAAAAAAAATTTGTGTTTATAACTATATGTGGTGATGGATAACCAGACTTGTGGTGATTATTTCATAATATATACTTAATAATAATACAAGAATATAATTTCACAATAATTCAAATATCAAATTGTTATGTAGCACGCCTGAAACTAATACAATTTTATGTCAATTATACCTCAATAAAAATAAATAAATAAGCTTTCATTAGTATAGTAATCCCAATTTTATAAAGTGACTTCAAAGCCAAAGGAAAGATAAGGTTAAGATCTAGAAAGAATTTAAAAAAAACATCATGAAAGAGATGCTTTTAGAGGAAGCTAATGTAGTTGTTCTTTGCTCTTTTGAATAAAAATAGCATACTTTTTATTAACTTAATAATTATGAGAACATTTAATATATGTGGTTTAAGGTTTCTGAAACATTTGCATCAGTTTTATTAATGACTTAATGACTGAAAAATAACCACAGTTTTTTTGAACTATATGATTGCAGTATTAGAAATAATTTTCTCCTGTTCTTGGCCTTGAATATAAATAAAGCACCATTCTGAGAGGGACAGAGAAATGGAAGGAAGCCTTTGAAACCATAAGAATTTAATGATTGCTGGCTTTCCTTGCTTTCTTGATTAAAATTATGTTTAATTGGTTTCTTCCATATTTACATCGATTGTCTAATAAATCTATAGATTCAAAAGCAAACTCAAATGATTTTTTCTTTCACGTACCGTTGTACTTCCATTCCCTCTTATTACCTAGACTTTTGTAAAACTCAACACCAGCATGGAAGGACATTACCCAGTATGTTTCATGAACATTTTAGAAATGGGGTACCGTAAGTGTCAGAGTATTAAATCAGACTCAACACAAATTATTGATCTTACTCATTGCTAAATTTACTGTAACCAAAGGATATAGGCAATAACAGAGCAGGTGCTCAGCCTTGTTCCCTTCAGGGGGTCTGTCACTATCAGTGTAGCACCCTGACAGTCCTTTTATTTTACATGAGCACACGTTCTGGCTTGGTTTCAACATGAAGGATTCTAAGCAGTGCCTGCATATGCTGTTTGCACAGATGAAGCCATTTTGGTTGTTGTCTAGCTTACACAACAACCTCTATCTATTCATGACCCCATAATCACATCAATTTCAGGTTTATTTGCAATAAGTCACCCAAATAGACCAGGTACATCCTGCTTACAGTGCCAATCTAAGACTGGGAAAGGGTCAATTATACTCATGCACATTATAGATTTTACCCGGTATTAATTTACTAATGCTTGAAAGCACTAGCAAAATGCACAATAATTCCCTTGGAGTAGTCCAAGATTGTCAACACAGCTTCCTAGATCCTTTTCTCCCTCAAATTACAATGGATTCTGTTTCAGATTTAACATGAAAGGTTTTGAGCAATGCATGCAGATAGGTTTTGGTTTGGAACACCTCCAAAGTGTACATTCAATTAATTACACTTCTGTGTAACATTCTCTATTCCAACCATCCATAGATTTATAAATTCCAGATTAATTTACAATAATAACCTAGACAAACCAAGGATATCCTGCAGAAAGCATTCCTTAAGCGAAGCCTCACTGTCTATTACCTTTCCCCTAGTGAATAGCATCAGTGTGTTTAGCAGCAGGTTCATCATTAACATATTTACAAGGAGACTTCGATCATCATTCCTCTCTTTCCAGGGCATCATGAGTAAAATAAATTGTAGGTCAGATGCCTGTGGCTGACCCTTCTCTTTACAAGGAAATTTTGCAAAGAATATTATCTTTCAATGATTTTATAAACATTTAATTTTTGAATTTAGGTACACCAAGAATGAGAAATAATAAAGAGCCCAATTAATTAAGCTTCCCTGCATCTTAACTGGTTAATTGGCCAAGTTGTTAGAAAATCTATGAGGAACATGATCCTGTAAGTAGAATGAGGTGTTTGATTCCTACTTATTGGATAAACAGGGAAGTTATCTTTGCTTTTTTGTTAACCCAGTGTGCTTGAGGAGTGACTGCTATAGCCCCACAGCAGAGACTGAGCTTAGATGTCCTATTTTGTCATTTGGACAAAGTGGTTTTGTCACTAAGCCTGGACCATGGCTCAGATTGGCAAGTCTATTATGTAGATGATGGTTGGGTGTTGGCAAGTTCTGCCCCAATGATTGATGAATAATTTCTTTCTCTTTCTTTATGCTCTGTCTTTATAGTGCTGTTAGTTCTGATTCTTGGAATAACCCAGCGATGATGACCCTCACCAAAAGCAGATCCTTCACTTCGTCCTATGCCCTTTCTTCAGCTAACTATGTAAAGGCTAAAAAGCCAAATCGCCCAGGTAAGTGACTTACTGGGAGAAGAGTTCACACTCACTGAGCGTGCAGTCACCGTGTGAACTAAGTCTTAAGTGTTTAAATATGATTCAGGAGATGCTCTACACTTAGATATATTTGTTTTGACTTTTCTAAAAAGAGAAGGCCTCAATCCCAATTAATTACTTACATTTCCACTTTATATGATGAAACACATGCTTTCCAGGTTGCTGTACCAGATATTCTATCTTGAGCTTATTGGATGAATAGGAAATCACTGTTACCATTGAGGATAATCTCTGGAAGCATCATCTTATAATATCAGAGCTAATGATATACTTATGAAATTGCAATTTTACTCTTAGTGGCTGTTGAAAGAAAATTATTTTTCAGGAGTATGGTATTTATATGAGATTAAAGAAATCCTTTATTTACTATACATATTATAATTTTTCAAATAAATTCTTACTTTATGTCGCTCACCTCCCCGCCCCCATACACCCCAATATATAAATATTGAAAGAAGAGGTATTTAAATTTGGAGAAAATAAATTCAGGACTTTTGAAAGCTCTTTGAAAAATCCCACAAGTTTGCAACCAGAAGAGCCAACAGCACTGTGGCAGGAAGTTTTCCTTCCTTTTCAGACAGGTGCAACATGAAACCTGATGAGATTTTTCCTGTCCAGGATCTGGCATCTGTCTACTACACGGAGTTTTCCATGTGGGTGTCAATGCACTCCTTCTACGGCTAAGCATCAGCTTCTCCCCTCCCTCAAGCTTGATTTACTTAACAAATATTTGTGGAGTGTTCACTGTTTCAGACACTAAACTAGTTTCAAGAATGTGGCCATGATTAAGCCAGACCCTGTTCCCCCTCTCCTAGAATTCTCACTTCCATTGTGCTGGGGACTGTAAACGGGTCATCAGCTCTTGCTGTATAGTGTTTTAAAGGCTATAATAAGGAAGCAAGGGAAGACTTTCAAATAATCGAAGAGAAGAAAAGAGATATAAGACCCAACACATTGAGAGAAAGCTCGAGAAATGATTTTTAAAGGACTGGCAAAGCTAAGAAACAGAAAGGGAGAGCACTGAAAGAGCAGGAAGGGAAACGAAAACAAGTATGTAGGCAGAGCCCAGTTGGCATAGGACCTGGGGAGCTATGGTGAAGAGCTGAGATAGCAAAATTAAGAACAATAAAGTTTCAGGCACGAAAGTAAAATGATTTGGGGGGAGATGACCTCACTTAATCAGAACCTGTGCTGACTCAAAGCTGGTGTATAGTTTTTGTCAGATTCTTTCATTGCATTTTATTTTAATTTCTCATCACCATTTATCCCCTCTTGCCCTCTCCCACATCCCCCCTTCCCCCTTGATTCCCAGGTGAGAGGTGGCTGTTCACTGTGGCCACTCCTTGGAATATTCTGACTCTGTCTTCATCGGTCAGCACTGCAGAAAACTCTCATGAGATTTTCAGTAGCTTCTGGTTTAGCTTCATTTAAAAAAAAAAAAAAGTTTTAATCCTCACTAGAGGATTTTTTAAATTAACTCTAGATAGAGAGGAAGAGAGAGAGAGATGAGAGAGCCCACAAGCTTTCGGTGTATGGGACGGCACACCAACGAATTGAGCCACCCAGCCAGGGCTCCATTTAGCTTCTTCCTCTTCTGCCTTTATAGCCACCTAAGAATTCACCAAATGGCTCAAGAGGAAAACCGCCCCCTTCTACGGGGCTGTTATACGTTCAGATTCTGACTGGCACGGTGGCCCCAAACTCCAGTTTTTGTGCCGTGCGTCTCCTGACATTGCCAATAGCTCTGCTGGCTTGTTTCCCTGATGCTGCATCCTTCGGCCTGGACTCTCAGCCTTTTGCTCCGTGCTGATTGCTAGGAAATAATGCTCTGAAAGGAGGAACATTCACAGGATTTTAGCTCACACTGCTGAGGATCTCTTCTTTCTGGAAACCTAGTCCCCCAAATTAGTTCTCTCACCTTGATAGCTTTTAGTTTTTAACTCAGCATATTTCTATTTGTTGCCAAAGGAACATGGATTTGCTGCAAACTATAGAATCACAAGCAGAAGTTCTCAAAGTGGCAATGTTCCCATGAGGGTTAGAGAAACAGTAATCACATGCCACTAATATTTCAAGAGACCATCTTGAAATACACTTTTATTTTTAAGAGACACAAATTAAGGAAGCATTTCTGTTGTCTGTTTTTACATCGAGGAAGATAATTTAATGACTTCTTTCCCTTTGATCACCCACTTTATTTTGGTGACTATTTCTTGAAACCATTTAAGCACCAACTTTGCTTAAATCTCTAACTGTTTTGTGTTAGGAAGATACTTTGTCCTAAAAGTTCACTGTATTTATTGGAATTGCATCAGTGAGCGAAACCATTAAAGGTAATTTGGTTTTCCAAAAACTAATCTGGTCCTCTCTGCTCTTTGCAAATGTTCATTAAATTTTTTACCTTAGAAATCATTAATGGCCTGAGAAATAGAATTGAGCTTTCACCAGGGCCAGGAACAGGACAAGGTGGGCAAATACTTAAATTGGTTTGCCCTGAGGGCAGATACAGATTAACTCAGTAATGTGGAGACTCAGGTGTGGGACTCCAACAAGGTGAAGGAACTAAATTTGAGCATTTTACATTAAACCTCAGACCTTTAAAGGAGCACTAAAGTGGTCATAGGTGAGGAAGACCCTTGGCTCCCTATAAAAATATGTGCAAATAATTTTTGGAAAGCATCACCAGCTAAGGGCAATATGATTTCAACATATCAAGTTCAAACAAATTGGAATTTGCAACCAAGATCACTAAGCACACAAGAAACACAAGTTAGAGAAAGTGAAGGAAAAAAAAGCAGAAAAAATAGCAAAGGGTTGAGATATTAAAATGCTAAAATATTTCATTCCTTTAAAAATATTTAAAGAAAAATATGAGGTTATAAAAATAACAGCAATGGGAGAAGATATCATTGCTGACCAGCTAAATATAACTTTTAAAATTACAATCAAGGAAATATGATATGTTAAGTGACATAATAGAGTATTCAAGGGAAAATTAATAAACTGGGAGGCAGAAGATGTGAAGAAATCACCCAGAATGCAGCACAGATGAGACACTAGAAAATGTAAAAGATATAAGAAAAGGAATTAAACTTTCTAATTACATAATCATAGTTGCAGTAGAGGATAGGGGACATAAACTCTGAGGATAAGTGGAGTAAAGGGGAAAAAATTCACACATTGACACAAAATGATGAAACTACACAACACCACAATAAAAAATAAAATCTTAAGTCAGCCAGATAAAGACAAATTACCTTTTCAGGAAAAGCAGTCAGTCTGAGAGAATATAATAGTCAACCTAAAATTGTGTGTGTGTCAAAGCTATCTCACCAGAATAGGAATGAACTAAAGACATTTTAAGATGAGTCAAAACTTTACTAATTACCAAATCTTAACTAAAGGAATTAATGGTGGATGTAATCTAGAAAGAAAAGTAAAAGTAGAGAAGTCTAAGATGTAATAAAAATGGTGAATAAATAAATTTGAAAACTATGAGTCCATCAAACAAACATTATATGCTTAAATAATTGTATTTCCAGATTTGTGGGTATGTTTTAAAGATTTTTTAAAAGACAATTAAAATATTGGACAATAATAATATGTTACTCAAGGGATGAAATATGAGTTTAAGTGTAGATCAGAAAATGGATTCAGATTAGGAAACGGAGGCACAGAAATGTTAAGTAACTTGTCCAAACTCACATAATTCACCCTAAATTCTTTCTTTTGTCCAAATAACTTTATACTAGAAAAAACTGAGTACAACGAATTGAGAAAATTTAAAATTAAATTTTTTTTTTGGTGCTGTCCTTGGGTGAGTACAAGATAATGGAAGCATTTGGTTTTCTGTCACTTGTTTTTTCCATTTAGGTAATAAAATTAAAATTATTACAATAACCAACATGATAAACTCAAGAAGTTGAAATTGAATCATGCTGTATACCTGAAACTAATATATTGTTATATGTCAATTATACCTCAGTGGTTAGTGGATTTATTGGGAATAACAGAACAAACGAAGGAACAGACATGAGGAACAGCCTCATCTTCTTGTGTCCTGCTCCCCAATTCATATGACTGAACTCAAGAAGAAAGAGCAAAGTGTCAAAGGGGAAGAATGTCCTTATAAGATACCACAAAGGCAGATGGCAGAAATTAGAGCCACAGCCACGGCAAAAGCCTCTCTCCATTCTTGGTATAAAGGACGTACAGTATCTCTATCATGATTACTTTGGAGAGGATTTTGCATTGTGGCATCTTTAGATTGCTGTCACAGCAGAGCTAAATATTTGCAAAATAGCCTATATATTAAGCATGATTAATTCAACTAAGCAAATCCCTGAAAGTCTGCCAAAAGGGGGGAAAAATCCATCAAGAGTGAGAGAGCTGAAACTCAGTTATGGCTCTCCCTGATCAGCTGGGCCCTTCGGTTTTGAAACCCTTGTTTCCCTTTAAGGGTGGCATTGGTCTGATTGAGCTACCTAGGTGTGTTATGTTTGATAAAACTGACTGTGATGCCAGCTGTTTTCCAATAAACTATGTGGAAAGGGACCTGGTAAAGTCCCTCTGTGGCAAAGGATATAAGGAAATGGAATCAAAGTGTGAATAGAGTCTAAGGAGGAAAGTACCAAGCAATAGGCAAAAGAGGTAGGAGGAGACAAGCAAAGAGTAGAGCATAGAACCACTGGAAAAGAAATGACCTGTTTTTCACACAAATCAATTCAGCAGTGTGTCCAGTAGCTCGATCAATCAGGTGAATTTAAGTAGTTGAGACACAACCAATTATTTGCATAAAATAGGAGATTTAAATATTATTTGCATTTTCAATCTTGCTTTTCTATTTATGAGTCACTCACGATGTAGAGCTGCCATTGTGCCATTAATGAGCTTTTAAAATTCCTCTAATTTTATACTTAGTGAGTTTGCAGTAGTTCCCTTCCCAGATTCTTATAACTCGTATAAAATTCTTATAATCTTACTCTAATGATTACAGATCTTTCTACACCTAAAAGCAAGACTGAGTTTTTCCTATAGAAAATTTGAAATGAGAGAGAAATTATGACTTTGTGATTTTATTTTTGCATCCTCTCTATACTTTAGATACATGTTCTGTTTTGTAAAACAGCTAGGGTTATCCATTTGCCTGTGGGCATGGAAAAGAGGCGTGTATTTATCAGGCATGCTGGTTCCTTTCTTGGTCAATTAAAATTAAGCTGAGAGAGTTTTACTGCACAAAACAGATGGATTCACTTAAATAATTTCCTTCCAGTATTGTTTATCATCTCCCTGTGATTGCCCAAAGTTCCTTGTGTCTTGACACACATTTTTTCATGCTCTCGGGAGCAAGAAATTACAGACTGAATTACTGAAAGGACTTGGCATTTTAGAGTTTTTTAAAAGTTACGTTTTAAATTTTTTTATTTTTTAATGTTTTAAGTATTTCACATTAGTGCAGTTTCAGTTACTCCAAGATTTGTATTTCATGAGCTAAGTCTCTTTCCTGGAGTCTCTTAAAATTACTGAAATATAAATGAAGATAAACATATTTGAGAGAATGCATATTTATCTGAAACCCTGAATCCCTTCACCGGTGTGTGTGTGTGTGTAAATGTGTGAGTATGCAACAAAGTTGGAAGAGATGTCAAATGTCATAAAGTTTGCTAACATTACACATGATTACACTTAAACTACCCTAGAAAATAATCTGTTCTTGAAAAGTTGAAAGAAGCGTCTTTCTCCCGTTTCCTTGGAGTATCCTGTTCCTGTGTCTGAAATAATTTTGTTTGTAGTCTTTTCTTTCTGAAAAGAGTGCTTGGTTTTTATCTGCACTTTCCATCTATTTGAAAACATGTAATATGTAAATGTGCCCATTTCCTATGGCATTCTCTTTCTGTTTTTAAAACTTTAAGTAAACTATGATAATGCAGACTGCGACTAATAGTAGTTTGGTTTTGAAAAGAGAGGAATTTACATGTTTATGCCTTATCTTCTCACCTACAGAATAGAAATATCCCTGCTGTTCACGGTTGTTGCCAAGACTCTTGCTTGTTAGAAGTGTTCAAAATATGTACTCACAGAACGGCAGAAGCAAAGTGCTTCTCCTCTGTTTCAAGGTTTATTTTAAATTTTATCCCAGGCAGTAAATTTGGAGTCTTAAGGTCTGCTCTTTTTTTTTTTTTAAGTTAATCCATGAGTTCTAAGAACTCCAGTCGTTGAGTGGATTTTTAAGAGAGAATTTCACTTCTCTGAGAACATCAGCTGGCATCTACTGAAAATTAGCAATGAAAGGAAACCACTCGTCTCGTAAACGACCTTCAGAAAGTATTTGCGTCGAGACAGAAATGTGCCATGTTTCCACGGGCTTTGTATCAAAGGGGTCAAAGCTTGTGGAAAAACTCACAACCACCTATCCTAAAGCAATGACTATCAGGAGGCTCTTTTTAAGATACAACAATTCAAACTTTGCCTGGGCCCGCAGCTCTCTGCCCCCTTGCCCAGCAGCCTCTCTGACCATGTTCCAGGGACATGTCCTTGTCCTTCCTCCTTGCCGAGCTGAGGCCACACTGACCTTCTGACCGGTCCTCCGCTAGGCCCTCTTTGTAGAGCACGTTGTCCCCAACACTTGTCTCAGTGTCGTCCTTCTTCCAGCAGATCTCTGTTCCGATTTTACGCTGAGAGCTCCTCTGTCCTGTCGCCTCCACGTTGTTTCTCTTCCTCTTACTTAGAGCTGCCTGACTTTCCTTTCTTCCCTTTCCTCCTACATCTCCTCTTTTTTCCTTCAATCTTCTTCTTTTTTCTTCCTTTCCTTTTCCCTCCTTCTCCACTTCTTCTACATCCATTTTTTAAATTTTTGTCTCGCCCCCAAAGAGGGGGAGCTCCATGAGAGCAGGAGTTTTTGTTCACTGCGCCGCCTCAGTCCCTGGAACAGCGCACACAGCCGCTGTTCGAGTGAAAAACCACTGAGCTCCTCTGTGCAAATACCCTGGTAACCTTTACACAACGTCACACCCCACCCAGCTCTTTAATGCTTATACTGCTCTCTTCTAAGATATCTGGAGACTCCGTCAGCTGTAATCTAACAAATAGTCTATATTAAACCAGTCCTTTTCAACCTTTTCTTTTTTTAAAAATCAGAGCCCTCATGTGTGTAATAACATGTAAATATGATGTTCTATAGCAGTGGAGAAATGGGAAGGGGTTTCGAGCTTGTTGAAAAATTTAATTTCCTGTATTTTATAAAATTATAATAAGAAAATCTAATTATGTTAGATTTTAATATAATTTCTAATATAAATCTAATATTAGAGATAATATTAACAAATGATTTTTTCTGGGGCTTCCAAATAAAGTCTTTTTTAAAAATAATTTACAACCATTGTACTTCACAGGTTATATAATGCACCTGCTGCACCCAACAATAGATTGGTTGGGAAACCCTGAGATAAATATTTAGGGAACTTAATTTTCTTTTGGCTTAAGAGATTATGTGATGTGAAGGTTTGTCACCATCTTTGCTAAAATAGCTATACCTTTTCAAGAGAAGTAGAAATCACAATTAATACCATAAAGCTTGTCATGGTACAGAGCAATACAAATGCTGCCTACTAGAGAATGGATTTTTCTTCTTCCATGGGCTGCTTCTGGTAGAAGTATGGGCTGATAAACCACGTTTTACAAGAATAGCTGGCCCCACTCCACAGTCTCCTGCTTGCTAGCTCTGTGACCCTGGGAAGGTTATTTAACCTCTCGGTTCTAAGTGGTTTCACTTAGATATAAAGGCAGAAGTTTGATCTGTTGAAGAGGAACCAACAATAAAAATACTGAGAAAAGAACAAGGAGGAGCCACTGGCTTCCACACAGAAACAAAGGAAGAGTACCGTTTCTCCTCTTTTAAAACAAAACAAAGCAACAAGAAACTAATTATAATAGCCCTTCAGCAAGCTTCATATTCCATCCAGTGGACCAGGAAAACTGTGGGTGTGACAAAGAAAACTTTGGGGAGACTAGACATTGGAAGCAGACTAAGCCAGCTGCCAGTTCACCACACATATTATTCTATGTGAGAGCTGCTGGCTGCACATTTGCCCAGGGTGGTGAGAAATAGGAAACAACTTTTAATGATTTCATTTTACTTGCTTTCCTGTAGATTGTTCAGCCATAAAATCATGAGAATCAGTAAGCAGGGAGCTGCTCAGAAGCTATTTCTCTTTTTCTTCCATTTTAAGTGCAGGTTGCTTTCTCTATGTTTGGGGGAGAGGAAATTTAAAAGACATCATCCCTGTACTCAAACATCAGCACTTGGCAATCTAATTCATTGTTCTGCAACATTTTCACAATAGAGAGTAAACAGTTTGGCACAAAGATCCACACTTAAAATTTAAGCTTGAGGCCTATTGTTTGATCTGAAGGGGATCTTGTAACATTTTTAAATCTTTTCTCCAGAAATTACTCTGATCAAAGTAATCTCACGCCCATAATAGTCGTTTTGCTGAAAATGCAGATGGTTAATAAAGTGAACCACCTCAAAAAATGTATCTTCTTTATTTACATATTTTAAGCATTGTATGCCTGCCAAACTCTGCTCCAAACATGTTAATATTTAAAATAATACCCTATCCTCCTGCTGCTAAAAACTTCACAGCCGAAGAGAAGACAAACATAAGAGAAAATTTTAACCATTTTCATTGTGTTAGAGTGACGAGAAAAAACAAAAATAATATCCTTCTGTCCTGAAGTTACTCCAGGCCACCAAGGCTTTCACTGGATTTGCCAACATTGCCACCAGTTGTCTTCGTGATGATTCACTCCTCGCATTTCATGTTGCGGGGACACACCCACGCCCTGTCTCGAAAGGGCGGCGTGCGGGGAGGCCGGCCCGTGGCCCGAGTGCTCAGGTGGCCCTTGCTGAGTTAGAAGGAGCCCAAGGTGAAGTTTGAGTTGCAAGTTTGAATGCCAAAGACATTTTTTTTGACTTAATGACTCTCTTTGCTTCTCAGGTGCCCTCGCTAAAATTTCACCTCTTTCATCGCCCTGTTCCTCACCTCTCCAAGGGACTCCGGCCAGCAGTCCGGTCAGCAAAATTTCTACAGTTCAGTTTCCAGAATCTGCGGACACAGCTGCTAAACAAGGCCTAGGCTCTCACAGGGCCTTAACTTACACTCAGAGTGCCCCTGACCTGTCTCCTCAGATCCTGGTTCCACCTGTTATATGTAGCGGGTAAGGATTGAATGTTGTTAACTGGAGTTTAATAATAAAACGAATACTATTTCTCCTCTTAGGAACTCTCACCAGCACTCCATATAGCTATGTGTATGTCTGCCAGAGGAGGTGACAAGGAAGTATAGGATAATGTGATTTGTGTTGAATAGGGTATAATAGAAACAATTTGTCAGTGGTTTTCTGTTAATAGAAAGTTTAGCGTCCACATAGGTCATATAGCTAATTTTGGGAGATGGCATAAAATAATTAGTTGTATATTTTGTCTGCTTACTGATAGAAAATACAGCATATATTTTTTAAAAAGTATATCAAGTAATTTAAAATAATTTGATATTTTGTTGGAATATCTTTTATTTGTTCTCTGGGGAGGGTTTTACATTGATTTTAAAGGCATTTAATCTTAAGTTTGCAGTTGCCATTTTAACACATTAAAAATGTACAAATAGCACATGGCACTTTATGCTGAACTCAAATGGGTCTCAGAGTGCAGATAAGCAATTTATTGTACTGACCTATCATGTTGAAATAAGATTACAAAGTGTTGGCATTTCATAGAGGGTTAGAAAATAGGGCCTACCATGGCAAGAGTAATTATTTTGCCAATGTCACTAAGAAAGAAATACCTTCTCTTACTGATTAACATAGTGTTGTTCTCTAGTGGCAGCTTCATCTTGGACAATTGATCGTAAAGCATTACAATATTTATTTAAGTAGAAGAGCTGATTTTTTTTTTTAACTAAGTATAATCACAAGAGTGCCTGAAATAAAATGTTGTTTCTTTTTAAGGTAAATGAGGATAGCCATTTAAATAAATTAGTTATATCTTGTTCTTCTAATATCACATGTTTCACAGACCCAGATTTGATAGATATTTTTACTTTTGACCTTCACAAATTTCACTTTCAGGTTCTTTGTTTATAAACTATATTAAATGAATTTTTAAATAATCTTTATTTTTATTTCCTTTCTCTTTACAAATATTTTTAAAGGGAAAAATCATTTTTGTTTGTTTGGCCATGGCCAAAGTAAAAACTTATTCTGTTGACCAAAAGTTACTCTGCCACCCTCTCTATGACAGCTTTTGAAACAAAATAATTTCCGTAGGATATTAATCCAATCTTTTCCCCCCTACCAAAAACAAAAGCATGATCTATGGTGAAACAGACATAGCATATTTCCCTTTTAGTGATTTACAACAGCCATGACTTTATTAAAAGCTCTTAGGAGCCTTGCTAAAAGGAAACCTCTTAATTTCTGTCTCATCTAGCATTTTCCGAGTTTATTTGACCACAGAATCCATTTTTTTAGATTAACATCCAATAATTGCCCATGGAGCTAATGTTTGGTGGAACACCCTTAAGAAACATTTTTTGGGGTATGCATCCTGAGCCAAGATGAAGCCCAGTGGAAGACCAGCAACAAGGACATCTGCTCCCTCATTTCTAGGGAGACTGCCCCACTGTAGCCTCCAGATTGAGTGACATAAGTCGCTTAAAGAAACAAGAGAGATGTCCAGAAAAGATCTACTGCTCACATAGCTTTTCTCATCACAATCTATTTTTTTATTTCTAGCAGGAAGAAAGTAACGGGATTTTTATAAAAAAGCTTTTGGAGAAAAACAAGGCAATTTCACTGCCTACTTGTTCAGTAATGTTTATAAATCCAGTAGTGTGTTTTATTTGTTTGGGCTTTATAAATCTATAATTCAAACCATGTTTTATTATTGCCTTCAAGGCAGCCACCCATGTAGGCTGAGAGAGCTCCAGAAACACACGACTAATTATTGTGGTTTCCCCTGCTGAACCCGAAGGGTTTGGCGTTGAATCCCAGTCTCTTGGCTGCTGTAATGTCTATGCAACAAGCTGTTTTCTTGGCATAAGAGGTAGCATGTTTGAACTACTAATTTAAATGTTCCTTTTAAGTATTATCTTGCATTGAAAAATCTTAAAACTAATAAACGCTGCTTCTACCAAGTTTCATTCGAGAATGTAAGCACATCGTTGGCATCCAGTCTCTTTTTCCTTTGGCCCTGTCCTTTTCTTTTATTCCCTAAATCAAACTGATGGGATTTCATAATTAGAAATATTTGTGTGTTATGCTTTTCCACTTACCTTCAAGGCTTGAAAAATAAATTAACTTAGGAACACTTTCTAACTGGAAGTGTTTATCTCTACCACACATAAAAGCACGATTCAGGGCAGGAAAGTGATGAGATATTAATTATATTAAATTATAAACTGTCACCCACTTCTTTGTCTTTTAGAGTGAGTAATCTGGGGGTAAGTAACAAACACACAGAAACCCTCTGAGACCCTTTGTAATATTAGGCAAAAGGAAGGAACCCAGAAGCAAAATGCAGAATTAAAATCTAACCATGAAGTCTCTAAACAAGATAAGCGAGAGGGGAAACTTGCCAGGCCATTGTGAGGTTATTTTTTAATTTATAAAAAATACAGTCAAAATGGTTGAGAAAGCAAAAGTATCCTATATCCTTCAACCTCCTCAGTTTAAGTTACCACCTCTCAGTTACATTATTTTTCTCAGTTACCCACAATATACCCCTTGGCTTGTTTTTCTCAACTAGTATCCTATGCACTCATTTTACATTCAAACTTGGTCATTTCCTTCGGGCCTTAACAGGTAACTGATCAATCTGGAAAAAAACAAAACAACAAAACACAGTCTTTGAGGCAAAAAGTAAAATTCATATACTATTATTCTATTTTCACACATACAATATTTTCTTAAAGGGCTCTTTGGACATAAAATGTCTTAAGCCTAGAAATAAATCTAATAGTGAGGTTTGTACACAGGCACAAAAGGATTCCATTGGGGAAGATATTTGTGACCAAATACACATCGGCACCTCCAAAATTACTACTGTAAAGAGGTAGCAGACTATCTCAGGGTTCTCTGAATAATGTAGCACAATTTTGCTGGCAGTTTCACTTCCAATATGATCTAGACTACAGAGAAGCATGAGAGCCGAATGAAGCTTCTGATCCTTTGTATTGATCATGTCCTTGCAAAAAAGAAAATAGTACACCGCATATCAGCGTCCGTGTATAAAACCAAATGAGTTTTCCCCTCAAACGAGTAGAAGGTAGAAATATTTGGTTACTGTTATTTATCAGTGCACGCATAGATGATGTGTGCCTATGATTTTTTGAAAAGAAGATGTCCTTACTGCTGTTCCAATGTTTGTCAGCTGTGGCAGGCCATATTCCCAAGGCAATGCTGCTGATGGGCCCCTGGAGAGAAGCGGTGCGGCCATTCGGACACCGAGCAGAACGGGTAATTCTATATCTGGTCCTCAAAAAGGAAATTGCTTTAATTTCTTTCTTCTGGTCAACAAAGATAACATATGTTCCTGACATTTTAGATGAGAGATTTTAAAAGACAATGAAAGAAAGCAAAGTCATCCATAATTTTTCTATCTAGAGTTAATCATGGGTGAAATTTTGGTGCAAAGCTTTCCAAAATGATTCTATATAATCTATGCCCAACACATATATTTTTAAAATGAGAAGACATTTTATATAATGTATAGAACTATATAGAAATGTTATTTTAGCTTGGACATTGAGGTTCACCCATTCCAGGGTACTTTTTGGAGATGTCCAGTGGAGACCCTGAGCAATGACCTTGCTTAGATCAATGTAAGCTTGTATAAAACAGTTTTTCCTGGAGGCAGTATTATGGAGAGGGTATTTGGAGCCAGGTTTTGATGCTGATTCAGCTATTGACGTGTTTGTAATCTCTGCCTCAGTTCCTTCATCTGTAGAATGGGAATAATAATAGAACCTGCCAAACAGGATAGTTGTAAGAATTAAATTACTTAAAGCATGTAAATCTCTTGTTTTAGTATCTGAGTGACAGTAGGTAGTTAGTGTTTGCTGCTATTAGTATGATAATAATAATTATTATTGATGTGATTTTAGGGACTTTTGTTATTGCTGAAAGTTCACAAGGTAGAAAATGGTTCCTGTGAACTATAGATTTTAGGGGAGATAGACTTACTTTCTAAGAATGATTCTTAATTCCCTCTCTCAGCACTTCTTGATATACACTCAGTAAATATTGATCATTTGCCTGAGACAGTTATGTTTTATAGCAACATACGAAAGACAGGGAACATAAGCAAGGAAAAATGCAAAAGAGAATTCTCTTTGTGGCCATTATCTGATACTGCAGCATTCACACAGAATATTCCTTCTCCATGTCTCTGATCTTTTCTGATTCTACTGGGGCTGATGAATAAGGGGACTATTTCCTTACCACCTTTGCACTGTCACGTAGAGCTGTGGCCTTTGAGTGTGCTTCTTTATTTTTTCTAGAAATCATGGGATTAAAACGTGTCCATTGCATTTTCATTTTGTGTCTGATTCTAACATAGAAGCAGTTGGATGAGAGAGGTGGAAGAAAGATGGGCCCTTGGAAAAGTCCTCCAAGTTCCTCGTGATTGAAATCGTCTACGTGACAAAAGCCATTCCTCAGTGGCAACTTAAGGAAAATCAGTTAGTAAATAGATGGGACATACAACAAACCTAGAATATCCAAAGCTACCTTGAAAAAGGAGAGGAAAGTTAGAAGGCGTACATGACCTGGCTTTAAGGCTTACACTACAGTAATCAAGATAGTGTGGTGCTGGCGTAAGGACCAGCAAAGTGATCAGGCGGCATAGAGTAGAAGGCCCCAGACTAGACCCACACGTACACGCTCACTGAACTTTTAACAAAGACGCCAGAGCGATCCAAGGGATTAGGAAGAAAATGAGTTTCACTCCCTCCTTCTCATCACATGAAACATTACTCTGAGGTGGAGCACAGACCTAAATGTAAATGCTACAACAGTGAAGCTTCTGAAAGAAAACACAGGAAGATACCCTTTGTGGCCTTAGGGGAGGGCAGAGATTGCGTAGGCATAGGCAATGGAAAGCAATAACCATAAGTGAGAAAAAGAAACTGACCTTTATCAAAAGTACAGGAACTAGGGTCAGACCTCGGAAGTTCAAATTCATGTGGCAAAATCTACCATCTGCGGGCCTTGGGCAGTGTATTTGTTCTTTCTGCGTCTCGGGTCCTATCTGCTAAGCGAGGATGATAGCGATGCAGTGATGCAGTGAGGCCTCTCGCAGGCTCGCCCGGATGCTTAAATGGGTTCATACGAATGAAGTGCTTTCGGTGGTGTCTGCACATAGCGGACACTGAATAAACTTCACTCAGTCACCTTTTTCAGCTGCCCTAAGCTTTTGGAGATTTTTGGCCCAGGAGCAGGTATTTCAGACACTTGCTATTACTTGATTGGCCATCTAGTTAGTGCTGATTGGAATGGGAAACAGTGGGCGGAGGTAGATGGGGGGAAGCCCCACGCCCCTGGGGATGAAGATTGGGTGCTCCGGGTCTCCCACGCTCTGAGCACACCCGCTGAGACCACTCTGTTCCCGAGTGTCAATTCCACCCGCACGCTCATTCCAGGGTTAGTGTTTTAGTGTTAAAACACTAAAAACACTAACCCGCTCATTCCGGGTTAGTGTATCGGGGGATGCATAAAGGAAAAGGAATTATAAAGCCAGAGGATTTTAAAAGATTTGAACTACTGATCTAAGCATTAATAGTGAGGACTTAATTAATGCCTTTTAAATGAAGTCATGATCCTACTTATTTTACTGGGTTTAAAATGTGTGCCTTCTCCAACCCTATGATCTTATATTCTTGGTGTGTAAAAGCTCATGAAGGCAGTAGTTCCCTAAACACTGTATTTACCACATGCATTTTAGGAATATCCAAACGGGACCCCTTTTTCTTGCAAGTTTTCATAACAAGCTGGTCTCTTTCTGTTTCAGATGACACTGCTCAAGTTACCTCTGATTATGAAACCAATAACAACAGTGACAGCAGCGACATAGTGCAGAATGAAGACGAGACCGAGTGCCCAAGAGAGCAACTGAGGAAAGCATCGGCTTGTAGCGCCTACGCGCCTGAGACCATGATATTCCTGGTAGCCCCACATCACTTACCTCATTTGTTTACTTGAGAAATTGGCCTCTCTTACAGAGATTGGCTTAGAAATAGACCCCTGAGCCATTAGATTTACAGCTATATCTCATTTGGATTTAAAAGTATTATAGCCCTCCCATATGTATGAATATAATTTTTTCCCATCCAAGTTTTATTATCTCTTAATAATTCTTTGTTTTGGTGAATAAAAACATAAGCATTCATCTCCACAAATGATTATAGATATTTCTTAACCCAATCTAAAAGTGTAAATATGCATAGGAAAAATGAATTCTTTCACTCTGAAATAATATTTTATAAATATCAATCAATCAATGAAGTGAAATGTGTTAGTTGTCTTAGGGCATCTGCTAGTTTTTTGTTCTTTTTTTAAAAATATGTTTTTTAGTTGAATTTTTAGACAGAAAGGAAGAGAGAGGGAGGGAGGGAAAAACGGGAGAGAGAGAGACCAAGAGGGACAGGGACAGGGACAGGGAGAGAAATATCAGTGTTCCAATTGGTTGCCCCTTGTTTCCTCCTGTACACACCAAACCTGCAGCCTGCGCATGTGCCCTGACTGGGAATTGAACCAGCAACCTTTTGGTGCACAGGATGACACTCAGCCAACTGAGCCACACTGGCCAGGATGCTGTTTGGTTTTTGGTTTTTGGTTTTTTATAGGACCTCCTTAATTTAGAAAGTGAGCCAATATTTGTTTTCTTTGTTATACTAAATCAGGTTTACATCAACACTTGCTACCCATTAAAATACCCTTTAAATAATAATGACTTATTTGGTGTGTTTAGAGTGATCCATTTAAAGAGGGTAAAATTGTATTTGAGGCAGGTCGATTTGGGGGAGGCAGCTTGGTTAGAAAACAGTGGACTGTCCTGTGATTATCAAGTACTACTATTATTTTTCTCTCTAACCCGATTTGCCATTTATACTTTTAAATGGAAGAGATTTTCAGATAAATAATTTACATGTTTTCTTATCCTCATTATCTTTCATTTCTTTCTTTGGTACATGTACTCTAAAGAATGTCCTCATTTGGAATCAATTCTAAAATACCTCTACATTTATATGATACATGTTTCTTTGGAAACCATACATCACATGAATTAAATTAAAATCCCTGAAAAATTTGGTGTTGTCATTCTGCAGGATTAATGCTGATTTTGAAGCAGTAATACAGATTTGACCAGCTTCAGTAGGGGGGATTAACTCCCCTTCCCTACTCATGAGTTTCTTTTGAGAGTCCAACCTGAGCCAGGAGTTCTCAACCTAGAAGATTTTACGTAAACATAAAGAGATAAATTTACATACAATTTCAAAGTGTTGTGAAGCCCTTGAATCTTTATTTAGGAGCCTCATAGTAAACTCTAAAGTGGTTGTGTCAACTTATGGAAGAGCATTTTTTTCTTCCCTGTAGCATATCTGAACCAACAAAGGCAGGCAACCAATAATACAAAATTCATGATCTGAAACAGCCTCAGGACATTTCTCCTTATGTTTGAGCCAATGTCTTGTTCATCTTGATTTTTTTTTTTTAAGCTCACCATTCACCCAGAAGTTTTAAGTTATTCACTTCAAGTAAACTCAGTTATTGAATTGAACTTACTAAAGCAATGAACTGCTTCGTAGAAGACCTATATATTGTTAAAATCTTCCCATCTTTATTCCAGGACAAACCAATCCTTGCTCCTGAACCCCTTGTCATGGATAACTTGGACTCGATTATGGAGCAGCTAAATACTTGGAATTTTCCAATTTTTGATTTGGTGGAAAAAATAGGAAGGAAACGTGGCCGTATTCTTAGTCAGGTAAGAAATGTACTCATACCTGTGACTTTAAATGTAAAAAATAAAACATTCCTTGGTTGGTTAAAGCTCTGCACACATCTGATACCAGTGGTGGGTGGGTATTGGATATAGAAAGGAAATTTTAATACTCAACATGCTATAGATTCCTTGGTTGTGGGGTTAACAAAAGTAATTGGAACTTCAAATGAGTAAAATTCCATATTCTGCAATTAAAACGTGTATTTTGGGGAGGGGGCAGGGATACACAAGCAAGATGAAGAAATGATCTATAATTCATAGAATTCAGCAGAAGAACTGACACAAGCCCTCAAAAGAAAAAAGATGCCTATTTATAAACATTAATTTATTGTAATTATTTCCATTGACTGTTTTCTAAACTTTTGAATATTACAGTGCTTAGGCCTTATCAAAACCAAGGTATTCTGCAGAAACATCTTTCCCCCCAATGCTATGAGAAACACATCAAAGAGAGTTATCTGTATTTTAATATAGAAACAACCTTTATGTATCACAAGAAATATAGAATGTGAACTATAGCTGCATAATAGCCTTATACTATTTTTTCCTTAAGCTAGACTATTTTCAAAATTTCCCAAATAAAGAAATGTTTGTTTCTCTGAGGGAGGAAAAAAATATAGAATTTAAGAATTTGAATGTTCTCAATAAGCAAAACAAAACAATGAATTCACTCTGTTATCGAACAAATATCAAAATGTACACTCTTAATTAAAGAGGATGATGCAATAACATTTATTAGCTTATTTCAAAATGTTTTAGGGGAGTTCTGATGGATTGAATAAATATCACAGCAGAGATACTAAAGACTACCAAACTTCTTAATATAAAAACTTAGAAGAGAATTCAGGACCCAGATTTATTGCTGCCACTAACAATCCCTGTAAAACACTGGAAGACAGATCACTCATTACGCTGATTTCTACTTCACACATCAGAGACAGGCTTTGCTTGGGCCTCTCAGCCAGTATCCGAGTGTGGAACTTCAGGAGGAAGATTCCTGATCATCAAGTTTAAAGGAAGAAGAAAGAAGGGCCTTTTCCTGTATTGTTCAGTTCCACAAACAGTACTGATGTAGTCTGCCAGCAGAAAAATGTGTTTCTGCCTTAAAGGAACTCTTGGCCTAGTAGGAAAATGAGATGTCTGTCAAAATAATGACCATTTATGCCACATACAGAAGAAGTTTGCTAAAATGATTGATGGAATATAAAACTCAAAATAATTGCACACTCTATATGATATGCCTTCATTGCCTCTGCTAGACTTTATCCTGACCGTGAACAAGCTGAGGACTAAGATGGCCCTTGTTCCTTTGTTAGGAGTTATTAGCCCCTTCTTCTCACCCTTTCTCCTCTGTGCTGAGCAACATTTTTTATGCCAGCTGATCTTAAGGGCAGGTTTAAGGGCAACCACTTTTCTCTTTTTTTAAAATTATTATTTTTTTAATTTTTAATTAATTTTTTAAATTTATTGGGGGTGACATTGGTTAATAAGAGCATATAGGTTTCAAGTTACATTTCTGATACATGATCAGTATATTGCATTGGGTGCCCACCACCCAAGAAGTCGAATCATCCTCTGTTACCGTATATTTTGCCTCCTTTACCCTTTACTTCCCCCCCCTTTCCTCTGGTAACCACCACACTGTTGTTTATGTCTATGAGCTTCAGTTTTATATCTCACATAAAAGTGAAATCAAATGGTTCTTATCTTTTTCCGACGGACTTATTTCACTTAGCACGATAGTCTCAAGATGCATCCCTGTTGCCGCCAGTGGCAGGATTTCATCTTTTCTTAGGGCTGAGTAGTCCTCAGGGCAGCTGATTTTCGTCCATTCACCTTAACTTCAAATATCAGGGCTTCTCCTGGGAGGTTTTGTATTTCACTTCCTGAAACCCATTGTAGACCATGACTCTAAGGGAGTGATTTTCCTGCAAATATACCAGTAATAATGCCACAGGAAAATGTGGCAGTTGCCCAGGAGGTCTTCTGTCTCTTTTCCTGGACAAACTGTGCCCTCTTTGGAAAGAAAAATCTCACCTTGTTTTGCAATTTTTGTACACCTCACAGACTCCCCAGACTCTNCTCTTTGGAAAGAAAAATCTCACCTTGTTTTGCAATTTTTGTACACCTCACAGACTCCCCACATTCCCCAAAGCTCTGCAGTTTACTTTCCTCAGTAACTTTGATGCACGTCATTTTTTTTTTAGAATCTGTTTTACAGAAGAGGAATCTGGATTCAAAGAGGATATACCATTTATCTGCAGTCATACAGTACATATTGATCCATGATTTGAATGCAGATATATCATATTGGAAGCCCAGGCTTTTTACCTTTATTTCAACTGCTCTTTAGCCCCCTATAAAACACATTCACTTATTACATCTTTAACTCTCCAAGTGGAAGGTGTGAGCAATAGAAAAGTAGTAGTTATAGCAGCTGGTTTTACAGCACCAGCGACAGCGCACCAGGTGTCATTGCAGGTGCCCATCTCCCCTCGGAGTTCTGTGAGCTGGAGGGTGGGAGGGTGGACCTTGACCAGCTTCACCACCAATATTTTCTAGGAGTCATGGATATGAGTAGACGTTAGAAAGATTAGAGATAATTAATGATTAATTTTGACAAAATTCATTAATGCATTTTTCTAGTCATCTTTCAAAAATAAAATAAATACATAACTGCATGATCCTTATTATGTCACTTTATTTTTTTAGTTTACAAAACAGTGAACTTTTTTGAAATGCAGCTTTATTTGCACTGCTAAATAGAACTTTATGGGGTTTTTTCCCCCTTTGATTTGAGTTTATAAGGACAAAAATCATGAAATTTGCACTGTGTGAAAGGCATATTCTTTTCACCTTAGTAAGAATTTAGGACAGCCAAAATGAATTAACTTGAACATTCAAAGAAATCACCTTTTGGCTGAAACTACACAGAAAACGTCTCACTTCAAAAGACTTTAAAAGAGACATATGTGCAGTGGAAATGGCTTCTCAGGCTCAATATACTGCCTGTCTTCTTGATGATTATGATGTTTATTTTAATAAATTTGAAAGGACATTATTCAGATTTTGGAATAGTGTTTACTTTTTTCAGTTACCAGTATTTACCTGGTTAATGGTGTTGTTTATTTATGAGTTTGGATTATTGGTGGTTGATTTTTCACAGTGTCTTGGTAAAAAGTCTCCTGTTTTAAAATCACACTGTAAGGTATCCTTGTCTTAATTTTTCAATTCATCTTTCAAATGTTGAAAAAGAATAATAGGAAAATTTAATTATTTGCAATTCTAACAACATTGCTTTTTAAGTATTGGTGGTAGGATTTGAAGCAGTTAAAAGTACAAAATCTGAAGCCAAACTGCTTGACTTATATTCTGGTTTTGATAATGTGTCAGCTGTGTGATCTTAGACAAGTGACTCAACCTCTCTGTGCCTCAGTTTCTTCTGCTTTCAAAAGTTAATAATCATACCTATCTCAGAAAGTGTTGTGAGGATTAATTACATGTAAATAATTAATATATGTAAACTATTTAAAGCAGACTTCTCACTTATTAAATGCTAAATATATAAGCATACATATATACACACACATATATATGCATAGCAGCTGCTGTTGTTAGTATTATTATTGAAAATATGCATAAATAAATCCATTAGGTGTTTATAAATAAGAATTCAAATATCATCTAAAGTGGAAATAACTAAAAGAACTAGCTTGAAATATTACAGCAACCATAAACTTCACTTTCTATTACATTTTTTAAAGAGAGGAGGTAAGGTGTACTATTATACCAAAAAAGAGTAAAAGATTAAATATGCTTGCTGTTCAGAGTGAAAAAACACACACAGAAGTTAATATACATATTATATACTCTGTTCCCAGCCAGCAACTACAATGCTCCTTTTAAAACCTTTGTCAAATACAGTCACTCTCCTGCTCCATCGTCTTCAATAGCTGCCTACCTCACGCAGAGCGAAAGTCCTTATAATGGTCTATCTGGCTATCAAGCCCCAAGAGTGCACCAAACCCAGCTGAAATTCTACTCCTGCCCTCATTTATTTTGCTTCAGCCATGCTGGCCTTCTTGCTGTTTCTTGAATATTGCAAGCATACCTCAGGGGGCTTGCACTGTCTTTTACTCTACATAGAAAACTCTTTCCTTAGATAGCCATACACCTCACTTCACACACCCTTTAATCCTTTGCTCCAGTGTCACCTGAATATGCCTACCCTAACCCCATACTGTAAAAAGCACTTCTAACCCTTCTCTGTACTCCCAGCCCTCCATCTCTGCTCCCCTTTTTGCCTTTGTGTATGGCTTCTGACTTTCTGTCATAGAATATACCTTTCTTAGTATGTCTGTTGTTTACTGCCTTCCCCTGCTAGACCATAAGCTCCATGAAGGAATAGATCTTTGTTATATATACACATACATGCATACATACATATACATGCCTTATATATCAAAAATTGTCTAGAACATAGTAGGCATGCAATAGATATATGCTGAATGAATGAATCTCATTTTTAGGTATGTATCTATGTATATATTTCACTTATATATGTCACATAGTGACAAATATTGAATATATAATTTTAAAATATTGAATTTGAATAGACTTAAAGTCAATAACAAAAGATGGAAATTTAACTATGAAGCCATATATCAAAAATTTAGAGGAAATATTTTAAGATAATTTCATGAAGGAATGCAGATTAAAATAATGAATAATTCTTTTTAAAAATCTCCTGATTTATAACCAACACTGTGCCTTTCTGACATGAAATAGGCCGCTCTGTATTCCCCTCTGTCATCAGAATAACCATTTCTCTCCCCATTACCTTCTTCTGTTCCTTTATTCTTTTTTTTCTTCATCATTTGCGTGCCACAAATGCCAGTTACATCCAAAGGCATTCACTTAATTTGAGTCACTAGAACTGTGAAAGGAGTTGAGTGGTGACTAGATATTCAGAAGAGAAAGATGGCAAGCTAGGAAAAATAGTTCAGCCATTGTTATTTATTCTGGATTAGAATAAATCTTATTCTCTGTATATTTTAGTCAAGGCAACCCCTTTTTTCTCTTCCATGCTTCTTTCCCCTTACCCTGCACTAAAACACAACTCTGAATCCTTGATCCTTGGGAAAACTTTTTATGTATATATTAAATATGGACAAATTTAAGCTTTCTCTCATTCTTTTATTAGTGCTTATAGTATGTATTATACAATTAGCAATTTAGTGAATACTATTCTCCAGTTATTGATATCACACACAATTTATTGCCTTGATATGTTTCTATAGCGTATCCTGGTTTTTTGGTTGGTTGTTTTTCGGGTGTATGTCTCCATCTTTAAAAACACATCATGTGTCCCTTGTGGTCAGGGATTTCAAGGGCTAGGCACATAGAGTTCTTCAGTATCTATTTGATATTGCCCTAGCCGGTTTGGCTCAGTGGTTAGAGTGTCAGCCCACAGACTAAAGGGTCCCAGGTTCGATTCCGGCCAAGGGCATGTACCTTGGTTGCAGGCTCCTCCCGAGCCCCAGTTGGGGCANGGGTCCCAGGTTCGATTCCGGCCAAGGGCATGTACCTTGGTTGCAGGCTCGTCCCGAGCCCCAGTTGGGGCACGTGTGGGGGCAACCAACCGATGTGTCTCTCTCACATCGATGTTTCTCTCTCTCTCTCCCTTCAGCTCTCTCTGAAAAGCAATGGAAAAAATATCCTCAGGAGAGGATTAAAATATATATGTATATCTATTTGATATGTTGTTCCCAATAATTGTCTCTATTGGCTTTAAGTTAATATAATTTTTTTTCTTTGTATGTCTAATACACACCAGAAATGTGTTTTAAGGCTTTGTCTTTCTCTTCTACAGGTATCATACAGACTTTTTGAAGACATGGGCCTCTTTGAAGCTTTCAAAATTCCAGTTAGGGAATTTATGAATTACTTTCATGCTTTGGAGATTGGATACAGGGAAATTCCTTGTAAGTTTAAGTTATTTGTGAAATAATACTTTAAAAATTCATAGAATTTGCTATGGGTAATGGGATATTGATTTGTTAGCAGCTAGTACAGAATTACACATTGACAATATGCCATGTGGCCACACGGTACAGTGATTAGGAGATAAGAGCCTATGTTAGAATCCTGGCCTCTTCACCTATCAGCTGTAGGAGAGCCTGGGTCTTTCTTACCCTCTGCATGCCTCATTTCTTAATCTGTAAAATGGGGAGCGTTAATATCTGTTTCATAGAATTAGTATGAGGGTAAAGTGAGGTAATAATTCTATAGAGATTATAATAGTGCCTTACATGTAGTAATTGTGTGCTAAGTGAATCATTAAATGTTCAATGTATTGTTCATTTGCTAATGTGCTCCTTTCATTGGCTGAATTGAACTTTTGTTCTGGCATCTGCAGAGTTAAATCACTAACTATTAAAATTTTTTCATGAAGGATAAACCTGGCTGGGGGTAGAAGGACAGTAGGATGATGGTCTAAGTAATAAAATAGAAAAGAAGAAACATCTGGAAGTAGTTATGGAGAAGTTATTAGAAACATTTTTAAGTGAAATAAATGTGAAGAGCAAAGGAAAGGACACAGACAGTGTTCAAGCTTATGAACTTTGAATATTGTGAGAAAAAGCTTATCATTTATGGTCATGAGAAATTGGAACACAAAGGAGATGTTAAATTATATTCTTAATATGTAGCATTTCAGGGAGCTCCCGAACACATAAGTAAGTTGTCCTACATGCTAAAAAGTATATGGAACTGAAAAAATGTCCATAAATCTAGTCAGCGAAGTTGTGGAAATGTGTAGAAATCATGTGGTACTTTCAGAAAATAAATGCATAGCAAGAAAAATAGTTAAACATAATATATTGGTTGGAACATGCGTTAGTAGCATATTGTTTAAATCATGTTTTAAGTTTTAAATTTGCCTTTATGTACCTTAGACTTTAGAATCTTTTTGTAGTTAGAAAGAGCTGAAATAAATAAAAATTATATGGAGAGAGATAAAGCATAAGTATTTCTAGAAAGGGGTAGTACATTGACCCTAGTGATCCTTTGTTAATATATTATTTTTCAAGATTCCATGCACATGCTACATTGGAATGAAAATGCACAGATGATGATGTATGATAGCAAAGGAGAATGAAGAATCCAATCTACAAATTAGATTTGATGGAGAATGTGGGACAAAATGCAGGCAGAATAGGACAGTGGGAGTAGAAGAGAGGGGAGCTTAAGAGCGCTGGGACCCCTGGGAAAGTCTGGTCACTGGGACTCTGAAGTTGGAAGAGAGACATGAGAAAGGGGTAGTTTGAAAGGATCTCAAGCTAAGTCTTGCAAAATAGTAATATTTTCCAAGGCCCACCCTGGTTGGATGCCCGTGATTGACATGTGTTAGCGATTTCTCAAAGGAGTAGTTACGAAACTTTTATAGACAGGAAGCCACTGAAAACACTAAAGGACAACTAGTCACCAGACTAACTTTACAAATTAATGTTATATTTCCAAATAGAAATTAGTGATATAGTCCGCTATAGTCAAGTTACATTGAGTACTTGATAAAATAATTACTAACATTTTTCTAAGTTGTATATCGTTAAATTGTAGGGAAAGTTGACCAGTGTTTAAGTGTAAAAAGACATTTCCAGATTCTTAATTTTTAAATTAATTTTTATATTTTCTTATTACATTTTTATGTGTTACAAGTAAATAGTTTTTCCTGAAAATAGTGGGTTCTTTATTGCATGTGAAAATAATTTGTTATAATAAACCTGCTTGTTTTATTAGAAGCCCCACTTCTCATGAAGGGAATTTATTTATATCTTCTCACAATGACGTTTTAGCTAATTGGTGATCACTTTTAAATAATAATACCTTGCATGTGGTAGGGTTGTAAATTTATACTAATATGGGCAATGATTAAAAGCTTTGTTTGTCATTAATTGTAATTATCATACATAAAAATTTGTTGTATGTCTACTTTTAATATTTACTGCTAAAGAACTATATTTCTAACAACTCTAGCTAAATAAATCCACAACTAAATGAAAAAAGCCTGAGTAACCAAAATAAGGTTAAATTAACACTAATATGACAATGACCTAAAATTTTAGAAACTAAATTTCCTTTTACTTCCAAGTACACTTTAAATTTTTTCCAAAAGAAGAGAGAAAAATATGAAAGCTTTTAAATTTGTACTCAGAACCCTCACCAAAATTTAAAGAATCTAGGTTTTAAAATAGTTTTCCTGTACCTGACATTGTCTATTTCTCACCCCAAACAAACTCTACCAGCACCCTGATACTGGGTGCATGCACAGGTGTCCATGGCTAGCAGAATTAATGGCAGTTACTTGCACGCAGCAGGGAAAAGCACTCTCAGAAGCTCTCTCCCAGGGTACCCCCACACAGTGGCATCCTCTGCCCAGGCGACCACTTGCTCCTCTATTGGGTCATCACTGCCTTCTCCCTCCTCAGGGACTTAGCATAGCTTTTGTTTCAGTTTTGTAATTCTATTCTTACACATCATCGAGAGAAAACTGGTGATCTGTGCTAATTCACCATCCTGTTCTAACAGCAATAATTTATTTTATGTGAATGATATTTACATTCATTACAAGCTTACCGTGTCAGGCACTATAAATATGTTTCCATCCCGGCCGGGTGGCTCAGTTGGTTGGAGCATTGTCTCCTACAGGAGGCAACAGATAGATCTCTCTCTCTCTCCACCCCCCTTTCTTCCCTCTCTCAAATCAATAAAAACATGCCCTTGGTTGAGAATTAAAAAATAAAATATGTTCCCTTCTGTAATTCTCACAACTGTACCATGAAATTGGGATTATTATTACCTTCATCTTTTAAGATAAGGAAATGAGACTTAGAGTTTGAAGTAACTCATTCAGTGTAACACAGGTAATAAATATCAGAGCAGAGACAAAATCAGATCCGACCTAAATCCAGAAACTTGTAGCATGATCAACTTTGCCCACGACACAGGTATAAACATAAAAAATATAATTGTCTTGAATCCCTTGAGATAGTCTATACACAGAGATATAAACTCCAATTTTAATAAAATTGTTCTTTGAAGTACTAGATAATATTAGCCTTCACCCCTGGCAGTGACAATAGGTCTGTTTCTCAGAGCTTTTATGAAGACACCTCTCAATCCCTCACCCAGCTCCTCAACTGAATGACCCACTCACCAAAAGATTGACTCCTAAGAGTTGCCAGAATTGTAGGAAATGGGCATCGTCTACCCGCATCCCCTGTGTGCTGCCAAGGCCACAGATGTCATAGTTTCTCCTTTCTCCCTCTCAAATTCCCATTAACATTTTTTTTCTCTTCTGTTTTTTCTCCCCCTCATCTGTTCACTATTACTCAGAGATGTAATATGTTATATCGTCATATGCCACATAACAACATTTTGGCCAATGACGGACCGCCTATCTGATGGTGGTATCCCATATAGCCTAGGTGAGTAGGGGGCTGTCCCATCTAGGTTGGTGTCAGTGCACGCTTCGATGTTCCCAGTGACAGAATCGCCGAACAATGTGTTTCTTAGAATGAATCCCTGTCGTTAAATGGTGCATGGTTGTACTGGAGAAGGAAACTGTACCATGGTTGGTCAGCAAAAACAAAATGTGGAAAGTAAGCACATTTATAACAAAGCATACCCATCAATGAAGTGTGAGGAGGGCTAGATAAACAAGAGAAAACCTTAGAAGAATTGCACCAAAAAAAGAAGGTGGGCCAAGAGAGGACTGGGCCTTTGGTTACTGTCCAATAGAAGCTGACCTGTATATAAAATAGACCCCCCTTCCCATGATAATGACATTATTACTAGGGGATTTGGTTTCCCCATAGTTTTACTCTTCTAAATGGCCCCACTCCGTACGTTATTGTATAAAGAGGTATTTATTTCTCATTTTAGGTATTTCCTAGAACTGTAGTCCCAAATCAGAATTTCTAGATCAGAGAACATTATTGATTTTGGTTTTTAATTTTGCTTTGTGGATTCATTTTTGTTATAGTGTTTTAAGTTTGATTACAGAAAAATACTATATTCTATTCACAGATCATATTTGGGCGCCATTCAGCAGAGATGAAATATTGAGTGGTATAGACCATTGGTCTGACCAGTTGAAGTATGTCATGGGTCTGCCTTTATTCTAATCTTCTGCACAGCCTTATACAGAAGCGTGGAAATAAGTACAAAAGTAGACTTTAGAGTTGTTTCACATAGTGAGTTTCCTATATACATTAGGTTTCTGATATTCTCTGGATACAGATTTTTCTACTTCAGACATCTACATGCATAAAGAACATTGAGTAATTTTTTCTTGTTACTGTAGATATTATGGAATAATGGAAGAGTAATCAAATAATATTTGTCCTAGATGTTTAGCTGGCATTCACTGGGGTATTAAAATGTTAAGACTGAGCCATTTATCCAGTAGATGGCACTCTTAGTCCTTGGACCCCAAAGTTCACAAATTAATGACTGTTCCTTTGCATTGGTTATAGATCATAACAGAATCCATGCTACTGACGTCTTACATGCTGTTTGGTATCTTACTACACAGCCTATTCCAGGCCTCTCAACTGTGATTAATGATCATGGATCAGCAAGTGATTCAGGTACCTGCTAAGTGCATCTGTGCTCCTTTGTGAACTATGGGAATAAAAGAGTACTTTTTTTTAAGGGGGGGGGGTAAGATAAATGATATCAATTTCATTCTTTTTAAAAATCTCTATTACTTTCCTCTTCTTTTTTCAGATTCTGACAGTGGATTTACACATGGACACATGGGATATGTGTTCTCAAAAATGTATAGTGTGCCGGATGATAAATACGGGTGTCTGTCTGGAAATATCCCTGCCTTAGAGCTGATGGCGCTGTATGTGGCTGCGGCCATGCACGACTATGACCACCCAGGAAGGACTAATGCATTCCTGGTTGCAACCAGTGCTCCTCAGGTAACTCTGTCTGTTTTGATTAGGAGAAAAAAATTCAACTGAAAGATTTCTCTGAAGAAATATGAGCCCAACTATATTTGGCCCTGACATAAAATTCTTAGATACCATGCTAACTTTGAAAAGATAGCATGGTTTGTTCCAAATTATTAATGACAGGATACAGCTTTGTTACCCATGGGGATCCCTTCTCAATTTCTTCTAAGGAAAAAAAAAAACTACTTGAATTCATGTTAATGAGCTTTTTCAAGAAAGCAAATCCAACCTGTACAGAAGTCCCTTTCTGAAAAGATTAGAGAACCAAATCTTTTTGGACTTCTAAGAATGCAAGGCTTCTTTGTACATAAATCCCATTCCTTTGAAATATATTCAGAATAACAGTTATGATTCTTATGGTACTTTATTGGTTAGTAGGAGGTAAATTTTAATTTATTTCATTCGAGGGAAATTTTTCCCTGAACCTAGTATTCCAAAAACGGTAACTTTAAAGAAATGCATCTTAGCATATATTTACATTTAAGTTAAAATTAGTCACTAAGTTTCTAGTTATCATTTATACAGTTAAACCCTGCAAGCTTCTCCTTGATTTAATCAGCTGGACCCATGTCATTAAAGCTCCCAAAAGCCTATTTTTCTTTCTAAAGGGTGTAGAGGCCAATCCAATCCTCTTCTTTTTTCTTGCCTTTTTTTGTTTGCTTGTTTTTTACCCCACTCCCATCATTTTCTACTTCCTGTCTTATATACTAGTCTAGAATTTTCTTTTAATCTATATACAGTAAAAATATTCTGGTTTTTTCCTGACTACCCACTTTAATTTATTTCAATGTGCCCTTTAAACACAATAATTATTTTTAATAAAGTTATACAAATCCTCTGGCCGGCAGCATTTACTATTCAAACTGTTCTGTACATATAAGGCTTTCTACTTACCTCAATAAGAATGTCCTTTTGTCCCAATGCCCCTTTTTTCTGTATCCTCTATCACAGTCTTCAAGCATTTTTTTATGTAACTTCCTTTTCTGGGCCTTCCCTCAGCATTGTTAGACAGTTACAAACAACTGGACAGTTATATATTCCTTCAATTTTAGTGATAAAGGGTGATATTTCCTATCGCTGATTGTGAGGTGAGAATGTTTTAAATCATGGGCTTCTCAGGGATTTCATTCCTCTTTATTAGTTATATGTTTAACTAAGAGGAGGTCATTCTTATTCCAGATGCAAGATGTAGTTGAGTTACCTCTTAGGCATATGAATACATTTGCATATTTATATGGTTAAATTCCTGTGCCCTGCAAAGAAATCTGATAAAAATTTAGCACTAAGCCCCTTACTTAGAGATGTTTGGAATAAAGTTTCAAGTATATTATCTTTATTTTACAAAAAAGGAAATTTAACCAAAAAGTAATTAACAGTTGATGTACAGAAGTAAGTTATTCTTAATAACCAGCAATCACAAGATTACATTTCTGTGTTCCATGAAAAAAAGAAAATTCTGAAATCATTGAATATTCTCATTTGTTTTTGTAATTTTTTTAACTTAAAAAACTGAACTCTTCCGTCTCTCCCTTCTTTGCCTAGGCGGTGCTCTATAATGACCGCTCAGTCCTGGAGAATCATCACGCAGCTGCTGCATGGAATCTTTTCATGTCCCGGCCAGAGTATAACTTCTTAGTTAACCTTGACCATGTGGAATTTAAGCATTTCCGTTTCCTTGTCATTGAAGCAATTTTGGCCACTGACTTGAAGAAACACTTTGACTTTGTAGCCAAATTTAATGCCAAGGTAACTAGATTTATACCAGTTTTTATTTTATGGCCACATGGAAAGATGTCATGGAACTGAAGTATTCAACAAAACGCATTGCTATCACCTCTCATATGTCCAGTGTGAAAATGAAATGCAATAAAATGTTTAACCAGAAGCAGATAAATAGGCATTAATCCTAATCTAGGAACTTGAGAGGTTGAGGTGCTGTCTATATATTTTATACTTTGTGTTACAGGGAAATAATGGAATTCTGTCATTGTGTTTTGTTTGAATTAATTTGCTTCCATGTCTGTGGTATGTGAACATAAATTATCTGGCAGTGGGAAAGTCAAAACCTTGAAGCAAAATTTCATATGTCAAATATAAATGCTCAAATGTTAATTCAGGAAAATTTCTTATTTATAGCTACATTATTGTAATAGTAATAGGTAACATATGCTAATTTTATTTATTTATTATATTTTTAAATTGATCTTCATTGTTGATATTACAGATGTCCCCCTTTTTCCCCCATTGATCCCCTCTACCAGCTCCCGCCCCCCTGCAGGCCTCCACCACATTCTTGTCTTTAAATAGCATTTGTTTTCAATTGCATAATTAACAATTATTCATTTGTTATTTTATTTTTTTGATGAACTATTTTTACTATTAATTTATGCACGCCAGTAACATTATTTTAAATAGCTGAGAAAGTCCTCATTACTTGATATTCTGATCTCCACATGGTAGTAAGACAATAAATATTTATTGTTTACTCTTCTGTTCAACTTTTGCTTTCATTGAGGTAAAACACATTCGACTTTGTTCCTCAAACAGGTAAATGATGATGTTGGAATAGATTGGACCAATGAAAACGATCGTCTGCTAGTTTGTCAAATGTGTATAAAGTTGGCCGATATCAATGGGCCAGCTAAAAGTAAAGAGCTCCATCTTCAGTGGACAGAGGGTATTGTCAATGAATTTTACGAACAGGTAACTGATTTAATCCATACTTAGGCTGCTCAGAAATTCTCCAAAGCTTCCAGAGGCTTTGAGCCTGATAAATCTATTTCACACTCACCCTAGCAGTGGAAAATGCACTGGCCAATTTTAATCACAGGATAAAAAAATCACCAAAAAATTTGGACTAAATTATAACCATAAAAACTCTAAGGTAAAGTTACTTGCAAGTTTTTTGAGAGAAGACATTGAAGTAAAAGAGACAGCTGAAATTGTCCTTTTACAAATTCATTATAATAGAAGTCAATTTAAATTTAAATATATGAATATGTACCAGGTCAAGCTTATTTACTTTTCTAATAGAGTTTATAACCACAGCGTATGAAAAAGCTTCAAAAATAGGCATTTTACTTGACATGATAATGTGAGGGTTAGCACAAAGAACTACCACCAAAATGTCAGAGTGAGGGCGTCTTCTCCATATTACCCTGCATGAGCCACATGATCCTGGAAACTTTGTGTTTCATATTGTGGAGCCACTCAAGATGCACCTGGAGGTAGCGGAGCCTGGGGAAAGTACAGGAATCAGTGACATAAAAGGCCATGAAGATATTAAAAGAAGTGAAGATATTAAGCCTGGGGAAAAATAGAGGTGATACAATAACTAACTTTAGATACTTAAAAGACATACAAATTTAGGATTATGTGAAGTACTTGACAGATGGTTTATAAGAAACATTAGATTCCTCTCTGCTTCCCCAAAAAGGATATGAGTATAATCAGTTCATAGAACTTATGGGGAGTTAGGTTTCAGGTCAATGTCAGAAAGAAACTTGTATTATAAAAGGCATCCAGAAGTCTGATGAGGCATCTTAATAAGTAAATTGTCTGGACATATTTAGAGAGATTAGAAAGAACTTTGATGGATATTACTCACAAGATTTATATGTACAATAAAAGGCCTGTGCTTCTAGAAAATAATGTATTACTTTTCTTAGGGATGAGGTTAATTCATAATCAATCCTGAAATATTGAAATACAAGAAAAATATATAAAAAAAAAGGAAAACTCACTTTTAGTAATTCCACTACACAGACATAAACATTGTTGATATATCGGTATATTTCTTCATGGTTAACAATCTGATTTTTTTTCCAGAAAGATTTGAAACTGTTCAAAAGACAGACACTTATAGAATGATCCAATTTAACATATAGGTAAATAAGAATATAGAAATCATGTATTCACAGAAGATGTAATTCAACCGAAAGCTAGGATAAAGTAGCAACTTTAATTGAGCAATATAGTATTTTAAGATTTCTGGCAGCCAAAGCATAAAAGGAAAGCCTAATGGATTGTATATTTGCTTGATAATTATTTCTAGCATTGGTTTTATGATGCATTTATACTCTAATATAAGGCACACTGACTAATAGCATAAGAAATATCATCTACTGAGACATTAAACCATTTCGTATTCTTCCCCTTGATCAAAGGCCAAAACCTCATCAAAAGAGGGGTAAATGGCAACAAGGCATTTCTAGAGGAATCTTCGTAATTTGAGTAGGATCTCATCAATAAAGAGGGAACTCACACATGAATTTCTAAGTTCTTGCACATTTGCAAATTTTAGATGCTAAGAGAGTGTTGAATGTTGACTTCCCTTGTCGTTTGCCTTTCTGGTTCACCACTCGTGCTAACTCCCTGTCTCTAGGGCGACGAAGAGGCCAGCCTGGGGCTCCCGATAAGCCCTTTCATGGACCGCTCTGCCCCTCAGCTGGCCAACCTCCAGGAATCCTTTATCTCGCACATCGTGGGCCCGCTGTGCAACTCCTATGACTCTGCGGGACTCATGCCAGGGAAATGGGTGGAAGACGGCGATGAGTCGGGAGATACCGATGACCCGGAGGAGGAGGAGGCGGCGGCCGATGAAGAGGAAACCTGTGAAAATAACGAGTCTCCAAGTAAGTTATCAGATCCCTTTCTAGGTTCAGATGAGTCTCATGCTTTCTGTGAATTACATACTTTTGAGTCCAAATATCATCTGCTGTGTTTGATTATGGAGAGACCCCCCTTACCCAATCTCATAAAAAGAGAAATGAAAGACCGTGGGCTCTATAACCCCATGTTCATACAACGATGTGTTCTCTGTCAAAGTCTACTCCTCAGAGTATCTTAATGATTCAGAGATGAAAGGACTAGCAGGTCCCATATACAGAAACTCTAGGCTTCTATCAGCTTGGTCGGGGCAGCAACCACTCGTTCATTCAGGAGGTATTTACTGAGCACCTGCTTGTGGCGGGCATTCCGCCGGGTACTGAAGACAGAGGTGTGAACAAGTCACACAAAAGAACAGATAAATCCTTACCCTTTTAGACTTATATTCTAGTGGGGTCAGCAGACATTAAGCAAGATAAATCAGTAAATCAAAGTATGTTAGGTACTGATAAATGTTAGAGTTTTTTAAAAAGGTAAGAGGATATAAAATTAAAAGGTTAAAAATTTAGATAAGGTGGCATTGGAAGATCTAAATAAGAAAGAGAGATTTAAAAAAATTTTTAAAGACCTGAAAGAAGTGAAGGAGTGACCCACAAAGATAGATATAGAAAGAACATTCCGAGGGAAGGGGAAAGCAAGCCGTGCAAAGGTCCTGAGGTGGGCTTGGCTAGGTGTTCAAGGAGCATCAGGAGAGTGGGTGGCTGAAGCAGAGAAGGGGGCGGGAGAGCAACAGAAAGAGAGTGGGGGCTAGATGAGGTGGGGTTTGCAGGGAGGGCTCTGCAGATCACAGTATGGAGTTTGGCTTTTACTCTCACTGAGGTGGGAAGCCATCAGAGGTTTTGAGCAGAAGTGTTTGTTGATTCAACTTACATTTTAGCTGCTATATGGAGTATATTCTTGAGTTTGGGATAGAAGGAAATAAGAGCAATGGGATGAGTTAAGAGGCTGCTGAAATTACCCAAGTGAGAGATGACTGTGGCTTTGGACTGAGGTAGTGGCAATAGGGACAATGAGAAGAGCTTACATCTGGTCATGGACTTGGACTGCACACTGTACCCATTCTAATCACTTTAATTAACTATAAAAACAGGTTCTTTTTCTTCGTGTTGTGAAATATGCCCTGCTGTTTCTCCTGACGTAAGGAGGAGGCCCTAATAGAAAAACCCATAACTCTTAGAGTAACATTGCACAATACTGTTCCTGTGTTCATGAGAATATAGTGTATGGTTTCTGTCTGCCTTCATAGATAAAGAACATGCAACCTTAATATTAATCTTTTCAAAGCCCTTACCAAAGTTATTACCAGGGAAAGACATTCTGATCGTTTGTTCCTATTTTTTAGCAGTCGGGAAAATGCATGACTTAGTTCATTTCAGCTGTCCAGTAAGGCAATTTTCTAACATGGGCATCAACCTATATTTCCCTTATATAAGTGCCTGGTTGTAGGCTCACATAAGCATAGATAAGAGGTCATTATTAACTATAGAGACAGGGTTATGCAGGTTTGGCTTTAGGTCAGATTTTTGCTTAAGTTCTATCCTGAATATTAACTTTTGTACAGAATGGGGGGAATAAAAGTTTTTTTCCCTTCAATATTCTATTATCAGGGTAATTATATTTTATTTCTCTGGTGCTTATAAAAAGATTTCCATTCGAAACTTTGTGCTGATCTGGGGATTTAGAGGTTGGCATCAAGATTTGGGATTCATGAGTTATTTATTCATTTGTTCATTTAATAAACAGGCATTAGTTTTTTTTGTTTTGTTTTGTTTTTACTTTTCATCCAGAAAACCAGATAATTTGCCATCTGACCAAAGACGGGGCAGTTTTTCACTGATTGATATTGGAAAGTGGGGTCAGCTTCACTTCTGAAAAGTCTTTTTCCCATGGACCCTGATTCCTATTTGAACTCAAACACATTGCAAAACACACACACACACACCACACGTGTACACACGCACATGTACACACACACTCTCACACATTTCAGGTATCAAGAATTGAAGAATTTAGGCCCAGAGGTTTAACAAGCTCAACTTGTCAACATTGGCTCTAGCCCAGAACATACTCGATTTGATTCGTGTGTGTGCTTGTAAGGTTGGGTTGCCACTTGACTTCCAGATTCTAATGTGTTACTCTCCTGACCTTCCCGTTTTTATCAAGCTCACTAAAGCAGGAATGATAATTCTCTGGATTGTCTACTAATGACTTGTAAGGGTAAGCTAGCCTTATATTAAAATTTAAAGGATCCGCCAACAATGATTTGATACCATAACCTTTGAAAAATTATCTTTGAAGTATTCCTTTATAACCAAGAAAATGATAAAGTGTTAGTTTTTCATAAAAAATGGCTGCATGGAGTAATTGAATTTTAGAAATGGGAGGGGAATTGATGATCATATAGTTCAGCTGCCTCCTTTTACAAAATACCAAACTGAGGCTCAGAAATTTAAGTAATATTCCAAGGTGTATAGATGGTTTCTGCAGAACCAGAAAGGAAATCCAAGCCTCCTCATTTGTAATTCCACTGCTATTTACTCTTGTTGTTTTAATTTCAGAATTGATATCGACTGTGATGGTTAACTTGATTTAGCCTGAAATTTAGACTTAAATTAAATATGCACTGATAACTTCAGCAATTTGTAAAACTTGGAGACCTCCCAGGAAACATAGAATAAAATGTTTCAGTATGGTATCCTAGGGAAAGAAGGCTTTTTCCCTACCTCATAATTAAATCTGAAAGATTCCTGCAGTGAACTAAGAGGTTTCTAATGAAGTACTAAGCTGCATTTAGACTTTGAGCAATGAAAGGCTCTTTGTTCTTGGTTCAAAAGGTTCCAGTGCTGAACAATTTGGCTCCCAATACAAGCATGCTTTAGACCACCTGCAGACTCTAATCTACGCAAATTTATTTGGTACAAACTTTCTTCTACGTCACCTCATTCAGTTTAATTCCAGGGAGGTTTATTGCTAATGTTCAACAGCATTAATAAGAGAACAGCTGCTCTCATGGGGGCTGCCCTGAAAGGAAAAGGGAAAAAGTTGAGCTTTTTGTTAGTTTCTTCCCTATGAATGCCCTGCTGTGAATGTGTATAAATTTTAGACAGAATCGTCACCTTGCGCAGTAGAGTGTTTCCTATAACTGTGATGCAAGTCTGTCCTGCTGCCAGTGGCCACCTGTAACTCCCTTGATTCGAAACATTAGGATAAAAAATATGTTAACCTTTTAAAATTTCCCAGCAGAAACTGATTTGTACTAAACTACAACAAAAACAAAGTAGAAATAGACAAGTAAATGGCTTTGGTAGAAGATTATTTTAGAGATTTGCTTTTAAAAACCTAATGTATTAATATATTTTATTAACTTTGATTTTAAAAATTCAAATTTAAATATATATATTTTGCCCTTGTTGAGAAGCTTTCAAATGAAGAAATCGATGTCATGTGAGGGCCCCATCCCCGTGCCCGTAGGCATGCATGTCACTCTGCCTGGAATGCTGCCAGCCCTTTCTTCACCTACTGTATTTAATTCTCATGATTTACATCTCAGCTCAGGTGTCATGTCCTTTGAAAAAATCTTACTTGTTCCCCTGTAGGTTGAGTTTTTTGTTCACTCTGGTTTGACATGTCGGAAGTAAACTGTACCACATACTTGTTAAAAATGGCAAGGAAGACATTATTCAAGACCATTGCAATAGGGAAGAAAAGTTGACCTCACCTCCCTTGAAGCAAAGGCAAGAGAGATTTAAGTGCTGGGGTGAATGAGTGACAAAGTACTGGAAGACCTTAGAGGAGTTGGTCACTTAGGCCATGTGTGTTGCTAACTGGTGCTTACTGAAGTTAGGCTCCCAGGTCCTTGAGGAAGATGTTTCCAAGTTGTGAAACTGGCTAGAGGCTGGGGAAAAACATATATATTACAAGGGGATAGATAAAGAATTAGCAATTTCAAGTTTTATGAAGTAAATGCTCTAAGAAAAGGTTGGTCAGAGACCTATAGACTGGAAAAAACCTGTTGAAGTTTATTGAAGCTGAAGGGATGTTGAGGCCATCTTGGTCAGGTGCATCTGTATGTTATAAAACATAGCATGTCTATTTTCATTTTTGTCTTCTTGGCTTTCTCTCCTATAGATTGTAGAAGCTCTGAGTACAAATTGGTCGTTGTTTTCCATAGCATTCAGAAAACTGTCAGTAGGTGGTCAATATAGGTTTGATTGATGGGTCCATTTCGTGAATAAAATAATGACTACAGTAAATATTTTTTTAAATTCTTGCTTAAGATTCTGCCTCTATCCATTCGCCCCAGCATTTAATCGGTTTTGTTATACGTCTGTATGGTTTGAAAGTAATTCAAGATGATTTTATTTCACAGTCCTTTTTCTGCACTGTGTTTCAAAAAATGATCTTGTCCTTTGAAGTGCAAGAAATTGCCATGGTAAGTTAAAATGAAACCATTATAGCAATCATTAGCACTGCCACAAAACTCTTGGTGTATGACCTCCCAGAGAGCTAGGAGGCACATCTCAAAGCAATTGCCTTTTTTTTTTCTTTTTTGCTATTGTTACTGTTTTCTTCCCCTCCTCCTCCTCCTCTTCTTTCTTCCAGATTCTACATTATAAATCATTACTACTTGTACTATTGATTCTTTAATGTAGATCAGAATTTCCTGTGGACCACTTTTTTGTACCATTATTATTTTTATCAGTTATCAATACCTCATCATTCACTTGGAACTGTGGAACAGAAACTAGAGAGAACATGATCCATTTACTAAACTTCTACTGAATACACACTAAAGGCCAGGGCTTCGTGAGTATACATACAAAAGAGGGAAATAGCCTATTTCCACAGGGACCTTTACAGTCTAATGGCAGGGTCTTAGCCTAATTTCTAAATTCTTTTCCTAAGTCTAAAACAGTCACCCAGATGGAGATACTGAGAGTTAAGTTATATTCTGGTGGCTTAGGAGAGAACAGAGCGCTCTGCGAAGGTCAAGATCAGCTGCCTACTTTACCACTGCACTTTAGGTCTCCTGGATCCTTTATGCTCAACGTGGCCCTCAGATCCACTCCTCTAACGTTCCCTTTCCCAGTGCATCACACCACCACCTCCTCAGCTGCTCGGGCCAGACAGCTCAGGGTTGTCTTTGATTCCTCCCTCTTCTTTCTCATTTCTTTTTTTTTTAAGTCCTTGCCCAAGGATATGTTTTTATTGATTTTAAAGAGAGAGGAAGGGAGAGGGAGAGAAAAAACATCAATTGGTTGTCTCCCACAGGGCTCCCTACCAGGAATCGAGCTGGTGACCCTTTGGTACACAGGGCGATGCTCCAACTAACTGAGCCTCTCTGGCCACGGCTCCTCCCCTCTTCTTTATTTGCTACATCTCATCAGTTACCAAAGTCTTGTCTCACATTTATCTGTCTTCATTTCCATTATCCCCATTTTCGTCCAAGCCACCATCACCATGCAGTATCCTCCGAGCTGAGACATTTCCCTCTCTGTCTGCTACCTTTCAAAGACTTTGTAAGACTCAATATAATTGTAGCTACTTGTTCACTCTCTCTATTCCCACTAGAGTAAAAGCTCCATGCTGGCAACCATGATATCTGTCTCCCCTATCAGTGAGCACACCTGGTACAAATTAGGTGCTTAATAAATACATAAGGAATTGGAAGCTTAAATAGTGAATTATGACATTAATGCAAATTATTTGAAACATCATGTTTCTTTTGTTGAAACTAATTTTACTACATTTCTTCAATCAAGACATGCAATTCTGTGAAAATTGTCTTTAGCACTTCATATTGAAAACATTAAATTGTTTGGACACAAGTAACTGTAATCTGTTTATTTATTAAATGCATATTTGCGGAGCCTTGTCATGTATAAGATCTGTGCAGACCTTTACCAAGCTCCCTCAGAGAGGCTATAGTCTAATAAAGGAGCTGGGATATATGAGAATAAGATAAGGGCCTTAGAGGATGTACATTATTTAGGACATTGTTTTTGTTATCAGTGACAAAACTTCAATCAAATGAGTATATGCAAAAGGGAAATTATTGGTTCATGTAAACATAATGTTGGCTGGTATTAGAGCTTACTTGCCCCTGTTCTTGTCTCTGACTCACCTGCCTGACAGCTTTTTCTTTCAATCTTGCCTTCTCCATGAAGCTGGAATTATAGCCAGCTCCATGTTAACTTCATTCCAAATACATCAGCAGAGAAGAAAAGGCCTCTAGTCCCCACTCCTTGACCTCATACCCATGCTGTGCCAATGGGAAAAGTCCCAGGGAAGGACTCTGATAGGCCTGACTTGGGTTCCATACCTGCGCACTGGCCAGTCACCAGGACACAGCTGTGTTGTGGGAGATGGGTGGGGAAGTAGAATTTGACCACTTTTTCCAGAACTACATAACCGAAAGAAGGGGTGAGAGTCCCCCTAAATGGTTTTGGATATGCAGTTACCAGAAAAAGTGAGAATGAGAATGAGAAAGGAAAAAAGAAAATGGGAAATACTGTCTACTCGGAGAAGCATATGTGGAGTGACAAGAGAGTCTGAGAGAAAGAACGAGAGATTTTACTTAGAAGAGAAATTCAATGAAATGTGACTGGATCTCCAAATAATAAATGGACATGAATTTTCGGTTACTGAGAAGAGCATTTCAGAAGGAGGGGCTTTATCGGCTCAAAACTAGAAGAGTTCAGTGCATGTACATAAAAGAGAGCAGGTAAGTACAGATAGAAACCAGGCTGCAGGTGGAGGAAGACTGCAAAAGTGTTTTTGCTCCAGCTTCTGGGAAGACGTTGAGATGAGTTTGAAATTAATTAGTCCACATGAAGCAGAGCAGTAACATCAGAACCTCATTAAAGAAATCAATCTTGTAGACTTTTGTGAGCGGAACTAGTTGACAAAATAAAGGAAGACATAGTGAGAAGTTACTTTAGTCATCTTGGTGAGAAGTCTTGAGAATCTGAAGGTGTGGGACTAATATCAAGATACAAGCAGAATATTGTATTGGACATTACCAAATATTAACTACTGTTCAGAGTTCTATCTCAATGCTGTATTAATGGTGATTGCCCTCTTCCTCTTATTTCCCCATTCTCAGAAATGGCATTATTACAATATACAAGTCAAGTGATATATATATATCCATTTGGTACCTAATTCCTATTAATAATGTGATAAGAAATAGCTGTTGCATTCAACACACAAGTAAGTAGTCTTATAATTTGGTGTTTTCTCAGGAAAGAAAACTTTCAAAAGGAGGAAAATCTACTGCCAAATAACTCAGCACCTCGTGCAGAACCACCAGATGTGGAAGAAAGTCATCGAAGAGGAACAGAGGTTGGCAGGAATTGAAAATCAGTCCCCAGACCAGTCTCCCCAGCAGCATCCCTCAGAACACATCCAGGCCATCAGAGAAGAAGATGAAGAAAAAGGGAAGCCAAGAGGAGAGGAGACCCTCACCCCAAAGCCAAACCAGTGACAATGGGTAGAATGAGCTCTGTCTCCAAACCGAGTGACTTGTCACAGACTCTTTCCAAGCCAGCACAACACTTAGACACAACACTGTAGAAATACAAGAAGATGGGCAAATGGCTATTACATTTGGGGAGTCTTCGCATTTTATGTGTTTATTTTTACAGTGAGGTGCATGGTTAAAAACTCTCGCTCAGAGAAGCTTTCACATTGCAACACCAGCTTCTAAGGATTTTTTAAAGGAAGAAATATATATGTGTGTGTGTATATAAGCTCTCACGTAAATACATGTAAAACACAGTCACTCACACACACAAACACACACACACACTGAAAGCCAGAATTACTGGCTCCACAACTTAGTAACATTCATATTAAGATATATAGTGGTCACTGTGATATAATAAATCATGAAAGAAAAATAAAGGCAAACAAAGGAAATGGTGAGGCTTAGCAAAGAACAGGGCAGGCAATGTAGGTTACGACTAAGAAGCTTTTGCTCTTAGTACTGAGGGATGAACGTTCCAGAGAATTAGTTGAATTCTCATACATCCTGCCAACGTCGTGTGTGTGTGTGTGTGTGTGTGTGTGTGTGTGTGTGTGTGTGTGTGTGTTAGAGCGAGAGAGAGAGGAGTGAAGGGGTGTTTGTGGGTATGTATGCTTGTGTGTATGTAAAGAGAGATTTTTGTGGTGAGTAGTTTATAGAATTCCACCAGCAGATGACTCCACACGTGAGTAAACGGAGGCAAGTTCACTCTGGAGTGTCTTTGAGAGGCAGCCATTCCAAATGCCTCCCTCCATTTGGCTTCAGCCAAGGTCCCTCTGCAGAGGGAGGGGTGTTCACGGGCTGGGTGTGAAGGCCATGTGAATGGTACTACTGCTAAACACCACTTAGAGGCTCTCTATCACCAGCCTTCCATGTGGAAGCCTGAGGCATTTTTCCAATCTACTCGCCTACTGAATGTATAGGAGCTGTTTGTCTGTGGGTATGTCTGTCACTCACCTAAGATCAAATCACCCTTTAAGGGGATGGCATTCTTTATGCGTAAACACCTAGGAAGGAGCTGGAGTCAAGTCTTTTAATCAGGTGAGAATTCTAAAAGGTTTCTAGAGAACACCTGGGGAATCGCTCTTTACAGTGATCTCCCGCGTCTTAATCTGCTACAAAATGTGCGTGGTAGAAAGCAGAAAAAGAAAGGAAGGCAAACAGAAACTGTGCGAGAGATGAAGGGGAAAATTTCAACGTAGGGTTTGGTGTTTGTTGACTTAGTGAAAGCCCGATTCTTGGCAGCTGTTGAAGATTGGCTTTTGGGTGGCAAAGGGCCCACTGACCAACCCTGTCGTGGTATTCCACATGCTGTGGGATGGGGTAGCTTCTGTCTGCAATCTGGCCCATTGCCATGCCTCTTTTGGCAGGGAAGATTATAGAAGGATTTCGGGGGAGTGGGCCTATTATTGAAAGTCTTTTTTTTTT